TTAGTAAGAAGTTCAACTGTAGTGCATGTTTTTGAGAGTAACTTCAGTTGTATTATTTGATTTGAAGATAATATTTATTATTATGTAGTATATATTTTTATTTATTTATATATTACTGTGTTTATAGATATATTGTCTATTTCCATCCCTTCCCCCGCCCACAAAATGGTCCCCACACCCCGTAACAGCTCGAAAATAACCACGCATCAGACGAATTTATATTTTCGGCCTTTTGGAAGCCCGTAAAAGCCCACAAACCCCACCAAGATGACGATTTTCATTAACCACAGTTTTTTTTTGGTTTTTTTTTTTTTTGCAGTTGTAGGAATGTGCAGGTAACATTCCAGTAACAAAGTCGAAGGGCACCTCCAAACGAGCGAAAAAATGGGGTGTGTGAGCTCCAACTTGCGGGGTTTCCGGCGGAGGAGGGATGGAAATGGAGGGGGGGGGGAGGTTTACACAGCGGAGGAGCTAGAGGGGTTTAGGGAGGAGTTGGCGAGGGAATTGGAACGGGAGGCGAGGTTGGTGAGGAGGAAGGGGAGGTGTTGCAGGAAAGAGGGTGAAATCCGGAGTAATGGTTTGAATATTCACAGAGATATGAGCAGCAGGAGCAAATACCGCGCAGCGACGGCCACCGACGGAACCGCATGGGGTCCCGGATGTACTCCTGCGTCGAATTGAGAGAGAAAGGGGCAGGCAGAGGCACCTAGAGAGCAAGGGCGAGAATGAGAACGAGAACGAGAGAAGTAGAGAGCGGGGGAGGATTATGCAAGTACTTACTGGCGAGGCATAAATGAATGTCAAAGTCTTGGCCACCCTTCACCATGTCACCATTTACAGCATCCAATAGTTGTGGCAATCATTCATTGTTCTCTGTTCTGTCCATGTCAAAGCCAATATGCCTCAACATCGTGATAAAAAAAAAGACCGAGCTCAAACTTTGCAAGAAGTAGCCCAAAAAAGGCAAACCAAAAACGCCAATCTAACGAGAACGCCTCAGAACACAACAAACGCCATGATACCCCTCAAACCTGCCACCACGTTGAAGAAACCCCTCCCTCCCCCCCACCACTGTCAAAACCATCCTTACTTTGCAACCAGAGCCCTCGTTGCCAAAATATGCGTCGCCAACGCCCTCAGACTCGCCGCCTGCGTAATCGTTGTCAAAGCTAGCTCAACCGCCGTCTCCCTCCTGATCCAGTTCCTCAGCTCAACCGACACCAGAGAGTCCAGCCCGTGCGAGCTCAGCGGCGCGTCAGGTTCAACCTCGTCCCTCGCAATCATGGTCATGGCCGACACCTTGGTAATCAGCGCCTCGGTCAAGCCAACCTGCGGGTCAGAAGCCGTGGTCCAAGAGGCAGTAGATGCCGCACTGGCAGCATTCTGGTTCTCGGCATCGCCGCCCGTCAGGTCTGTGTGCAGGCGGTCTTTGAGAAGAATTGGGTGCGAATACTTCCAAGGGATGTCATGCAGCGGCTTGCCGTGGACGTGGAGCTTGTACGCGACGGCCTTGCCCTCGGGGCTGATGAAGGGAGAGTCGCGGCCCTGGCTGATGGCGCTCGCGACAAGAGTGACGATATCCTGCATGCGGATCGTGCCACCGAGGGTGATTTGGAGTTTCTCAGCTATGCCGTGGTCCGCAACATAACCCACGCCCAAGACGACGGGGAGGGAGATGGACACAGTGTGGTGACCTTGCTCGACGCGGAACTGAGAGAAGGCGTCGTAGAACGAGGCCGTGCCAGCGTAAATGCTCTGACCTGGATTCCCACCGTCACCCAAGAAACTCGAAAGTGCAATAAAGAAGTCCAGCTTGGGCAGCAACTCGTGCAGGTTCCAAGCTCCTTGGACCCTCGGGCCAGTGATGTACTTCCAGTCGTCATACGTGGCATTCAGCATCAGCTTGTCATTCAGCACCAAAGCGCTGTGCACAACACCCTTTACCGGGGGCAAACCCTCCTCCCTCATCGCCGCCACAACATCCTCCAGCGACTCCCTCGACCCAACATCACAAGCATACGCCCTGAACCTCACATTCTCCGACTCGGCATACTTCTTCAGCACCTTTCGCACCTCAGCTCCCTCCGGGCCACTGCGCCCAAGCACAACCACATTCTTGGCCCCAGCGTGCTCCACCATCCAGTCCGCCAGCCCAAGACCTATACCTCTCGTGCCACCAGTCACAAGGTAAGTCGAGTTGGGGTCCAACCTGGCAGGAGGTGACGGCCTAAGCGCGCTCTCGGCAAGCACCTTCTCCTCCTTGCCAAAAGTAACGACAATCTTTCCCGTGGTATCACCAGTCTTGAGCTTGCGAAGACCGTCGGCAAACTGAGAGACGGGGACCTCGGTCACGGGGTGGATAGGAACCACGACTCCCTTTTGCAGCAAGCTGACGACCTCCCCAATGACATCTCTCAGGTCATCCGGGCGGTGTTGGTGCAAAGCGCGGAGGTCGACGGTGCTGAAGGTGGCGTTCCGTTCAAAGGCTTTCATGGAGAGGTTGGTGTTCTGAAAGGCGTCCTTCTTGTTGATCTCGACGAAGCGGCCAAAGGCGGCCATGAGAGACCATGTTTCTTGCAAGAGTTCGCCAGTGAGAGAGTTGATGATGACGTCCACTCCCTTGCTGGCCGTGGCGCAGAGGATGCTGTCCCTGAACTGTGGGGTGCGGCTGGGAAAGATTTGTTCCTTGGGGATGTCGTAGGTTTCGTGCAGGAAGGCCCTCTTGGCCTCGGTGCCAGCCGTGACGAAGATGCGGGCACCGATGTGCTGAGCGATGACAATGGCGGCCTGGCCGACAGCACCGGCGGCGGAGTGGATGAGGACCGACTCGTTCTTTCTGAGACGGGCTGTGTGGACAAGAGCGGCCACAGCCATGGTGTAAGCAAGCGGCAGGGTGGCAGCCTCGATGCTGCTGAGGCCAGCGGGCACCCGAGCAGCGTGCCACGAGGGAAGTTTCTTGTACGTGGCCAACCCGCTGCCCTCGAGTGACAAGAAGAACACTCTGTCTCCCTCTCTCAGGTGCGCCACCTGATCGCCAGTCTTGACAACAGTGCCAACCCCGTCGAAACCAGGAGGAGCCCAGGGAATAGACCCAAACACGAGATTGAGGTCGCGGTAGCTCAGCCCTGCCGCCTCGGTCTTGACGACGACCTCGTCGTTGGCCAGCGGTGCCTGAAGAACATCGGTGCGCCTGAAGTAGATCGACTCAGGGCTCCCAGCCGACTCCATCGTCATCTCCAAGCCGCTGTCGCCAGACCAGATGTTTTGTACCGATCTGATGGCAACACCTTGCTCGATACCGAACTGCTCCTTGAGCTCCTTCAGCGGGCGCATGCGCCGCTGGTGGATGAGTCCATCACGGAAGAGATAATCCCGATCCTCTAGCGCGTTGACCTCGGGATCCGCAAGCACCCTGACAACCTTGAGGATGGCATCAATGCCATCAGCTCTCTCGGCCGTGCAAGGGATCCCCTCCATCATGAGGATGTGCTTGGGCTCACTCTCCAACCGGACAGTCCTCAGGATACCCTTGATGGAGTGAACCTCGGGAACCGGCGCCGCCTGGTCTTGCTCGGGAACAATCCAAAGCATGCCCTTGTTGTGAATCGCAAGACTCTTGATGGCGTTAAAGGTGTCCTCGTCTACCTCCTTGAGAAGACTGTGGCGGGGAGAGTCAATGACGACGACATGGGCATCCTCACCCTCGGCGTCAACCTCGAGGAAAGGCTTGATTGTCGTGACCAGACCAAATTCTTCCGTGATGGCGTCGGCAACAAGCTGGGCATAGTCGAGCTCGTCGTCATCCATGAGGGGACCGGCAACCGTGATCTGAATCTTGTCGTCGTCGTCGACGACCTTGCCGATCCTGCTCGACATGAAAGCACTCAACATCTGCTCCGGCTTGCCAGGGTGATCTTGATACAGCACATCAACTCCGGTGAAACCAGTGTCGACGAGAAGCCTGTTCCAGCTCTCCAGCGCAAGCAGCGGTCCCGACTCCCGGTCACGGTAGTCATCCTCGGCATACCACCAACCCGGCAGCAGCGCAAACGGCAGCGTGATGGGCGCGTGCCTGTTGGCCTCGAGCAGGATGACCTTGCCTCTCGGCTTCAGCAAGCTCCTCACATTCTTCATGGTGGTGATCATGTTGGCCGTCGCATGCAGCACGTTTGCCGCAACGATCAAATCGTACTCGCCCAATTCGAACCCCTGCTCGACCGGATCCCGACTGATGTCCAACTTTTCATACGAGATGCGGTTCAAATCCGACCACCTCTTCAGCTTGCCGTTGCGGGCGTTCTCAAAGAAGCCGCTCGAGATATCGGTGAAGGTATAACTCAAGAACGCGCCCTCCTCCCGGTCCTTGGACAACTCCTGGAGAATCGGCAGCGTCGTGCCCGCCGTGCCGGCACCAATCTCCAAGATCCTCATGTTGGGCTCCAGGTTGCTGAGGTCGTACACCAGCTCCCCAACCAGCTGACTAAAGTAGGCGTTTGAAACATCAGCCTCGTAGTGCCGAGTCAGCAACCCATCCTTGAGCATCACCTCCAGCGGCTGCACCTCGTTCCTCAGAATCGGCACTAGCTGCTTCCCAATAGCGCAGAGCAACTCCCCCTGGGCGCTGATAGCCTCGACCCTCCTCACCAGCCCGACCGGATCCTCAATCTCTGGCCCTTCGGCATCCACAATCCTCCTGGCCCACTTCTTGAACTTGACCAAATGACTCGGGATAGCCGACTCGTCATCCCCAGCCGTCTCGACGAGCGCCTGGTCCACGAACCAACACGCAGCCGCGTGCAAGTCCCGCCCGCCCTCCATCTCCTCCTCGCTGATCCTCTGGGGAGCAAACCGCCTGAGCTGCTCCTCCTTGGGCAGCAAGTCGAGCCGAGCAAGCAGCTCGAACCGCCAGTTGACGGGCAGGCCGTTTTCCGGTAGCTCATCCTCGTCATCACCCGACTGCAGCGCGCGGAACGTGACGGTTTCCCACTCGACAATCGGCTCCCGCTTGCCGCTCTTGTCATCGACCACAAACGCAGCCACGCTCATCAGCATCCTCCCTCCCTTGGCGTCGTGCTCGAGCAGCCTCGTCACAGTCTCGATCCGCTCCGACTCTTTCCCAAGAGCGATATGGTTCGACACCCTCAAGCGGTTCACATGGTTGGGCATCAGCGCCAGCCTCTTCCAGTCAATCTCGCTGAACGACCCACCACCCTGCAGAAACCCATCGAGCGTTGGCGGATCGGCCGTGTAAGGGGAGCCGTACTTGCTCAGCAGATCAACCTCTGGTCCCAAGTCGCGAAGCTTTTGATCAATGACTGTGAACTTCTCCCCCTTGCGGTAGCGGGTGGTGTTCCGGAAGGACGGGCCGTAGAGGGTGCCCTGGAGACCATCTGCCGCGTAGACAACACCGGGGTCGTGCTCCTCCAGCGGGGTCGCCTCAGCGCGGTGCAGCAACAAAAGAGACTCTTTTGTAGCCGGGCTCTCGGTAGGAAGCGGGACGGTCTCGGCTTCGATCTTGCCGTAGCAGTGCGTAGCCCAGGAGTTGGTATCGCTGTGCAGGATCTGCACCTCGAACGACCACGAGGTGGGAGAGTAACTGGCTGTACCCGTAGAAGTGGGCTTGACCTTGGTGAGGAGATCGACGTTTTGTTCTTCCTCGACTTGTAAGCTGCGGACGACGTGGATGTCCCTCAGCACAAACGCCTCTACGGGGGTGCCGGGGGCGACGGCGCGCCGGAGGGCCTCGATCGCGCAGCCGAGGTAGCCTGTCATGGGGAAGATGACGACACCAGAGACGTTGTGGTCGCGGATCCAGGGGATGTCGTCTAGGCTGAAGAGGGAGCGGTATGTGCGCTCCTGGCCGTTGGCGTTGCCGCTGGAGGCGGCTTTGCGGCCTAGGAGGGGGTGGAAGGGCTCGCCTGGGAACATGAGCTCGTGGGTGTGGCGGGGCATGATCTCGTAGCTGGTTGACTTGTCCCACGCGTAGGCTGGGAGGTCGGTGAGGACCTGGGCGTTGGTCTTGTCGGTTTGGTTGACGGCACCGAGATCGGTAGGGATGCCAGAGGTGAACAAGCCGCTTGCAAGGTCCAGCAGCGCCTGGCTGCCGTCTACCTTCCTGACCAAAGAAGGGAGGTAAGAGAAGGACTTGAGGGAGAGATCCTCGACCGTGCGCTTGATGGGGTTCTTCAAGGCTGCGTGCGGGCCAATCTCGACAATGACATTAGGTGTCCGGCCGGTCTTGACATCCTCCTGTTGGGAGAACAGCTTGGTGATGGCATCAGAAAACCGAACAGGTCGGACAAGGTTGTTGACCCAGTACGATGAGTCAATCACAGTTTCGACCCGGCCAGTGACCGAGGAAACAAAGGCCGGCTTACTGTCATCGTTCTCGACAACGACAAACTCATCCTCGTAGTAGGGCTGGATCGCCGCGCGGTACCAATCGGCCACCTCCTCCATATGACGAGAGTGGTACGCCAGGCTGACCTTGAGCCGGCGAACAAACAAGCCTTGCTCGTCCGCGGCCTTGTGGATGGCCTCAATGGCAGCCATATCGCCCGACACGGTCACGCTATTGGGACTGTTGATAGCACCAACAGTCGCATAGGCGTCACCCGCGTGATCTCGAATGAGCTTGGAGGCTTCCTCAAAGCCAACTCCCAGAGCCAGCATGGCACCAACACCTCCCTTGGACGCCAGCTGCGACGCAGCCTGGCCGCGATAGTAGGCGGTAGCAACAGCAGCCGTGAAGGAGATGAGCCCGGCCGTGTACGCGGCCGCCATTTCGCCGCTAGAGTGCCCGGTGACAGCTTTGGGTGTGACTCCCCAGCTCCTGAGCAGCTCGACAAGAGCGAGCTGGACAGCAGTGCACGCCGGCTGGCTGATCTCGGCATCGTCAACGCGGGAGACGGAAGCATCCTTGCCGAGCTCCTCGGTCAAGGACCACGTCGCCCCCATGGAGGTGAGAAGGTCCTCGGCTTGGTCAAGGGCGTCGGCGAAGACCTTGTAATGACGCAATCCCGAAGCCATCTGGGCATATTGGGCGCCTTGGCCGGTGAAGCAAAAGGCGACGACGCGGTCTTGCTTGGCTCTGGCGGGCTTTTTGGAGGAGAGCTTCTCTTTCAGGCCATCGACCGAGTTGGCGACGACGGCGACACGGTATGGATGATGTGTGCGGCGCTGGCCGAGAGTGTAGCTGAGATTCTTGGTAAAGTCGGCGTCGTCGACGCGGACAGTAGACCAGTCGGGCGTGGGGTTCTCGTCCCCAAGGAACTCGACAAACGAAGACAGGTAGGCATTGAGACTCTTGTCTGTCTTGGCTGACAGAACAAACAGCCGGTTTGGAGCGTGGTGGTGGCCGTTGACACCGTTGGTCCCGTTCGTGCTGTGGCCATTGATGCCGTTGCCATTGACATGGTGATGGCCATTGACACCGTTGGTACGATTGGCATGCCCATTGACGCCATTGGCAGCATGGCCATTGGTATAAGCCCTCAAAGCCAGGTGGCCAGTCAGCGCAGGCGACACAGGAGGTTGCTCAAGCAAGACTGCAGAGTTACTACCACCAAACCCTTGAATCTGTCAGCACATTGTTTCCTCTCCCCACGAGTGATGAGAATGGAAGAAAACGCATACCAAAGTTGGTCACCAGTGCTCTTCTGAGCTCATTTTCGGGCCAGGCCATTGGTTTGTCTCCAATGACACGCATCTTTTCCTTCCCTTCGATGCGCTTGTTCATCTCCTCGAAGCCAGCGGTGGGAAGGATGATGCCGTGTTTGACCATAAGGATAGCCTTGACCATGCCCAGAATACCGCTTGCCCCTTCTAGATGACTGGAAATTGGTCAGAGTGAAGTTCAAACTTGAAATCACCTGAATGCAGCACTCACCCAAAGTTGGACTTGATCGATCCAATGTACAGGGGGTTTGCTTCTGTCCTGTCCTTGGCCAAGATGGCGGCGAATGCGCCAGCCTCGATGGGGTCACTGAAAATATCCAGATTAGTTTCTTGTCATGTCAGACCATTCCCCCTTTCCAGCCCCTGAATTTATTGTGGGGCCACAGGAAAAAGAAAAACAAAAAGAAAAAAACTCACCCGGCAGGCGTACCAGTCCCATGGCCCTCAACAACAGGCGTCTCCCCCGGGCTAAGCCCAGCAGCCTCATGCACCTTGACCAACAACCGCTCCTGCGATATCCGACTCGGCATAGTAATCCCCTCCGACCTCCCACAGTGATTGCAAGCAGACCCCCTAATAACAGCATGAATAGGATCGCCATCCCTCACCGCATCATCAAGCCTCTTAATCAACAGACAAGCACCCCCCTCACCCCGCCCAAACCCAGCAGCCTTGTGATCATAAGAAAAGCTCTTCCCCTCGGCCGACAGCGCCCCCATCTTCTCCAACGTAATCCACAAGTTGGGACTAAAACAAATAGCCGAAGCCCCCACAAAAGCAGCCTCACACTCCCCATTCCTCAGCGCCTGGCAAGCCTGATGCGTAGCATAACAACTACTCGCGCACGCCGCCTCAATAGCCACGCTCGGGCCGTGCACATCGAAAAAGTAACTCAGCCTATTGGCAAACATGCACGCCGCAATCCCCGTCGCGGTCCAAGCAGTCGTCTTGGCCAGATCCTCCGCCACGCGGTGGGCGTACTCTTGCGAGCCGCAAGCGACAAAAACGCCAATGTTTTTTCCCGCAATGTCCAGCAGGGACTGGCCCGCGTTCTCGGCCGCCTCGAGCGCGCACTCGAGCATCATCCTGTGCTGAGGGTCCGAGTTCTTTGCCTCTTCGGCCCTCATGTTGAAGAAGGCGGCGTCGAACTGGTAGATGTCGTCCGGGAGGAAGTGGGCGCCGTTGACCTTGAAGCAGCCGGGCTTGTCGAGGCCGGGGGTGTGGAAGGCCTGCTGGTCGAAGCGGGTGGGGGGCATGGTGCTCCAGGCGGATTTGGCTTGGGAGAGGTAGTCGTACAACCCCTTGCGGCCCACGCCTGGGGCGCGGTAGGACAGGCCTACGATGGCGATGGGGGTTGGGTCGTTGAAGGGTGCCATGTTTTGTTAGAGAGAAGGGTGTGTGTACCGTTGAGGGTTGGTTGGGGTGATGGAGAGTAGGAACAAGTGGATGGAGGGAGGGGGGGGGGCGGTTTGATGATGATAGAGATCAGGGTGAAAGTCAAAGCGGCCCAAGACGAATTTATATACTTCTTTATACCACGTCTGTTCCTCGAGATGTCGTTCCCAGAGCCTTGATAGTCAGGGACCAAACTCCCCACAGGAAGGAGACACACAGGATCAAGGTACCTTACCTTTAGATAGGATAGGTAGCAACCATGCGCCGCCCAGCCCAATCAAGTGGATGTGCTTACGCACCTTTGGCGTCTCGGATGAACTCTGTGACGGTCGAGCAGCATCAGTAAAAGCCCAGTACCTAGTGATGTGTGAGCTGGAAGGGATCACTACCTTGGGTAGGTACCTAGAAAGTGAGACGGCCTTCGCCTCGAGACAGAAACATACCATACCCCAGTACCCCACGAATTGATATTGATAATTCCCCACGAATGCCCAGCATTGGCATTCTCAATATCTTCCTGCACTCTGCATCCTTTGACCCATGTCGTCAACCGAAACATTGATTGCGCCCATCCTTGAACCGGTAGGTATCACCAAAAAAAAAAACCATCAGCTCGGGCAACCTTTTGTCCCTGATGCCGGGGGGGTGAAATAAAAAATACCATGCTTCAAGCCATGCGGAATTGTCGGATCAGCATGTCACCCTTCGGGCAGAATGTGGTGGGAATAGGACTTACACGGCTTGCCGGTTCTAGATACCCTGAGACAACAACAGCATAATGGTGTCATAACTCGCCATGCCGTACCTCCGCCCCATCCAACCCGCACCTTGACCTTTCCCCGGAAACAAGTTACTGGGATCACGTTCACCAACAAGCCAAGACGTAAGCATCTTATCTCTTCCATCCATCCCAGCGCCCGCCTCCGGGTCCCCATTTGGGGTCCGTCTGCGAATCATGGTAGAAAGAGCCCGGGCGTGTTGGTTGAGACACGCATGCAATGTCTGTCAAGCGAACCCCTTCAAGCGGTAGCAGCAAAAGTCCATTGATATCCAACAGTCCCCTACCACTCAGCCAAATCAATTGCAGTGGCCTTTGTCATCTGGGAGTGCCAGACACACCCAGTAACACTGCCGAGTACATGGCCCAAGAAAAAAACATATATGTAATCATCTTGGCCAATGTACGGGAGGGTTACACCCCGCCTGCGGGGAACCATCAATGTGTACAAAGGTTTCCTTGTCTTCTAGAAGGGCGGCTGGGCAGAGCGCCAAATGAGATTGGCTGTAATCTATTCCTGCGTCCATGGGTCGTACTCGGGTCCGGGCAACTCAAACCGCCCAAAGTTTTGATATGACGCGGTTAGATGGTTTACCCGGTTCTTGTCTTCTCGGATTCGCATCGATATGTTTCCATGCAAAAGCTTTCCAATATTACCACCAGACAAGACCTGGGCAAAACCCCTTCGGTGACCAGACAGTAGGATGCTACTTTATCGGTATGTCGGTCGGTATGTCGGGATGTTCTTCAACAGCAGGTGTCCGATCCTTTGCGTCAGCTATCGCCCACACATGATTGGTAGTTCCTGAGGTAAAATCACTTGTAGATAGGGGACATGGCTGTATCGTTGCTGATCACTACTTGATTCAACCGTTGCCAATGCTTGTAACTGCGAGTAACACGGGGTCCAATCAACGCCGCAGTTTCAACCACCTGCGAAGAGCTTCCCGGTCGACTGTATGCAACCCACTGATTCCGCTGCCTTCTTCGAGATATGGAAATTGTTCAATGGCATGCCAGACTGTCGGGATCTTGTGTCTTTCAGAAGAGAAACCCTCACCCGCATGGCGACGAACCGAGTCCAGAAGCAGCTGCTGACCCCTCATCTCCTTTATCTCCCCCGCAAAAATGGCCTCCGTGTCTGATGATGAGTCCGAGTCCGTATCGCCAGGGGTCACGGTGCATCTTGGCACAACCATTGCGACGAGTTGCGTGCGCCCGGCAGCGATTTTGGTGAAAACGGCAGCGTCTTGGACATCGTCATGGTGCATAATCAAGCCCTCGACCTCCTCTAACTGAACCGTTTGATTGTTGATCTTGACCCGGTTCTCTTGCCGTCCCACGACGCACAGCTCGTTATCTTCCCCGCTGCCTGTCTCGATATACTTGGCGAGATACCCTGTGCGAATGAACAGTCCGGTGGGTTGTGGGTGGTGGCTGTCAGAGGATAACACCCACGGAGGAACTTGCTGTTGCAAGGTTGACAAGAGGTAGGGAGAGGAAGCGGAAGAAAGCTCCGGGCCTTCCAGCCAAAGCTGTCCTACGCTCCCAATCGGCGCAAGTTCGTTGGGATTCTGCAGGCTTGCCAACCAAACTTTGCAGCGACCCGAGGGGATTCCTGGAAACAATGCGCCCAAGGCGGCATCGATGGACCTTCCGTTTCTCAGCGCTCCATCATGATTCCAGCGCATCACTTCACCCAAATCATGCTTGTTGAAGAGCGGAAGCCTGTCCAATCTGGAGGTCAGAGGAACCTCGGCCAGCACGCGAAGTGTATGCTCAAACTGATTCAGAATGCGATGTAGCTGCCGTTCAGGGAGGACTGCGGGGTCGTACAAAGTCTTGAGCAAAATCCTAGTCGCCCCAGGACCCTGCGTTGCTCCATCTCGGTTGATCGACTCCAGTTTGCAGCGTAGTATCAAGGCCGGTAGCGTCCGCGCCTGCCAAAGCACACGATCCATCCGTATCGGGGCTGGTGCGTCAGACGCGGCGGAGAACTTCGGAGGTAGCGCGGGGATGATGTTGAAAAGCGTCTGGAATTTGGACGAGACCTGGGCCGCTTCGTTCACAAGAGAGATGTTGGTCAAGCCGTACTGGAGTGCGGGGTGTGCTTGGAGTTGACGCAGCGAGGCTGCCCTGTCCTTCACGAGTTGCTCCACCGTCATGCCCTTGCGCTGTTGGATGTTGAGGTTGACTTGCATGGGCACCTCGACGTGCATCGGTCCCAGGGTTGATTCGAGGCCGCCAAGCGTCGGGGAGCGTCCAGAAAGGACAAATCCGTACGAGATGCTGTCGCTGTCGGCGTAAGTGGCCTCTGTAAGTGCCCAAGCGGCCTCGGCGAAGGTGGGGACGTGTGTTGGGGAGATGCTTCCGGGGCCCAGCTGGTGTGTCAAGACGATTTCTTTCTCCACGGCTTGGCTGGGGTAGGGTGTATGCCCAGGTGCAACAGGCGGGAAGATGACGGGAAGACGGCGGCTATCAAAGCGGGAGGCCCAAAAGGCCTTGGCGGCTCCTTCGTCGATGGCGAGGCAGTGAGCCACGAACTCTTTGAACTGAGGTCTTTCCGGAGGTGCTTCCCCGAGGAAGGCCATGACGATGTCCTGCTGAACTAGCGTGGTTAACGACCAGTAGTCCATAATGGCGTGGTGAATGGTCAGAACAAAGCTCCTGCCGATGAAGGCTGAGCGCAGAAGAGGGACCCCAAAGTCCATCCGTCGAGCCTGGTCATCTCTCAAATATTCCTCAACGTCTCCAGAGAGGTGTTCTGTGGCGTGGTCCTCCTTGATGACCACCTGTAACACTCCCAGCCCCCGACATTGAACCAATCTCGTGCGCAACACGGCGTTAGCCCTCACGACTCTCTGCAGAGCCCTGCACCACCGTTCAAGCTCTATCCCCTCATCAAAGGAGAGCACGATTTGAAACCATTCGGATCGGCCCGGCTGGCTGTGGCTGACATGGTCGAGTTGTTGATGTACGCAACTGTAGATGTCCTCAATATCCTTCGTCGAAATCTGGCACGCTTCGGCTATGATCTCGAGTGTTTCGTTGTCAATATCATCTCGCGAGAGAACCTTGGTGTCCATCATTCTTGCTGTTTTTCGTTTGTCGTGCTGGTAGAGGAGAAGGCTGGAAAGACGGGCGAGGATGCCAAACACTGCTAATTATGTCCACTGACTAGCCTCGGGGTAAGACGTGTACCTGTGTCACTTGCAGGTCGAGATGCTATGGTGATCGGGTGGGTTGCGTGGCTAGGGGGGTGTGAGTAACGAACGATAGGTAGGTATCCTTGTACCTTGGCAAAGATCAACATGCAGACCAAGGTTGTATTAGCGGGAAGGTTTGTCCCGGTCTTACATCTGTCTCTCCACAAGCACCCAATTTACTTGGGGGCATACGGCCGAGCCGGACCACACTTAGCTGGAGATGTGTCTGCTAGGTCGGTTGAGCGGAAGCTCGGGGGCCATGGTGGGAGTCATCAGCTGGGCCATTAACGGCCTTGCCATTTTCTCCCAGTCTAGTACCAAACCCCACATTCCAGTCTTGCCTGCCCTCCGCTCTTGCTCTTCAGAATTTCCTCATTCACAGCCACATATGTGTAATCTTGGGTGTGTGGCTGAGGTGGCGGAGAGTGGTAGTTGGTCATTGCAACTTGAACTGTTGCCTCAATGGCCTCGACGTTCATAGTCCAGTCTCCGTTGTTAACGGCGATTTTCCTCCTGGATAATAGAAATATTGCCGACGGGTATTGAAACAGTTGGGCACACCCGCTGGGTACGCCGCCTTTTTTTCACCCGGAAGAAAAAAGTGTTCCACTGTCTTGCCCACATGTCGGGAACTGTACCCTGTAAGAAAGTGTGGGACACCAGTACATTGACTATGACTGTTTGTCTCGAACTTGAAACTTCAAGGAAGGGAAAAACGTATCATCCCAGATACACTAAGACAAGAGTGCTGCCAGCAGCGAGTAAGGAAGCCGTCGGCACGGTGAATAGATCATGAGCGACCCAAACTACCTAACCATGAGGACGGTGAGCAAAGCTTGAATTCTGAGCGAGGTGGGTAGATTAGAGCCCAGATAAGCCAGTTTAAAACCCCATGATTCAGGTTATAAGAGGAGGCACAGGGTAACGAGGAATCCCAACATATCGTGCTGCCCTTTGAAAAGATGGCCATGATGGCATCTCGCACTTGGAGAAGGTTGCAATCGCAACATACCCGGATCATCTCCGCGCAGAGTGGGAAGAGGACCCCGCATCATGGGAAATAAGGAAAAATGAAGTCCATCAATCTTAACCGAGCGCTTGCCAGGGCCCCTCCAGGGAAAGGCAGATATATGAGGAGACGGGTAGGCACCTATGGATGAATTTACTCGGATGTTCTAAGCCATCACACTTGTGTGGTTATCCCTACAGCTCGTCAACCCCATGATCACGTCCATGAAAATAACTGCAGCATCATTGCTGGCAGGGGCGTCAGCAGTGAATACCTCACTAAGCCTTGTTCCCGCATCTTCAATCTCGCAGTCACATGTGCCGCAGTTCGTCAGCTACTCCTTCGAGCCGGCCTTCTGGGTCGAGTTCTTCGGCGAACCAGACGCCCCCCGCAACCTGACGTACACCCTCCTCAACCACCTCCACGAGCGCGGTGCTCGTCCCATCATCAGGGCGGGAGGCATCACGATGGACAGCATGATATTTGACCCTTCCCAGAAAACATCTGTTGTCCGCACTGAGAACAGCAAAGGAGGCATCTACCGAACCACCATCGGGCCAGCCTTCTACCGCTCCTGGGACAACTTCCCCGAGGGCACCACGTTCGTCTCTACTCTCAACTTTGGCAACAACTCTGTCCCCATAGCCAGAGACCTTGCCCTCGCATCCTACAACCTCCAGAAAGACAAGATCATCCACTATGAGCTAGGCAACGAGCCCACAAACTATCCCACCTCTCGCTGGCAGGGAAGCACGAAGGCTTACGTCGATCAATGGCTCTCCTTTGTTAATCAGATCAACAGTGCTCTGGGTGGCAACCGGACTGGCCACAGCAGCGGAAAATGGTGGGCATCAAGCGCAACAACCGACATCACCCCTCTCAAGGTCCGTCCAGCAGACCTCATCCCGGCCGGCATCAACAACACCGGCCAAGTCTCGCAGTACTCCATCCACTCGTACGCGTTTGCAACTTGTGACCCCGCTCGTGAGCGATTGGCTACAATCCCGAACATCCTCAACCACACTGACCTACTCCGCTACGCCGACCATGAAATCTATCCTTCTGCCAAGCTAGCCATGCAGCAAAAGGGTGAGTGGGTGATCGGGGAGTTCAACTCGATTGCTTGTAGCGGAAAACCAGGAGTATCAGACTCGTTTGCACAGGCGCTGTGGACGGCAGACGTGGAGCTAATATACGCCGTGAGAAACGCGACAAGCGTGCACTTGCACCAGGGGGCAACGTTGGTGTTCCAGAGTAACCAGCAGCTGAACACACCTGGAGATGATGGGACGCCGGGATTTAGCAGCTATTCGTTGTTGTACCCGATCAACTCGACCAAGAGGGGCGAGGCGAGGGTGTTACCGGTGTTTGTCAGTCAGCTACTGGTGGTGGAGGCACTGAGTGAAGGGGGGAGGATTGCTGCGCTAAAGACGCCCCGGGGGATTGCAGAGAGGGAGTTTTCGGCGTATGCGATATTTGATGCTGCTGGTACGAGGGTGACCAAGATTGTGGCCTTGAATTTGAAGCTGTATTATGCTGGACAGCAGGAGCAAAGAGGGGAGGTTGTGTTGGATTTAGGGGCTCATAGAGGGGCGACGGTTAAGCGTATGACTGCTCCATCAGTGGATGAGAAAGACGCTGCCAAGGTGACGTGGGCTGGGCAGTCGTTTAAGAATGGTGTTGCTGTGGGCCAAGTGGCTGAAGAAAGTTTGGAAGCGCGAGGAAAATTGTCGGTTCGGGATAGTGAGGCAGTCTTGTTGACATTTGAGTAAGCATCGATGCTATGCTGGCTTGTCAGTTATGCCTTTTTCATGATACTGCTCGATGACAACTGCTCTAGGTGACAGGCGGATAGCAGTCAGAGGCATTTGCCATGACGGGTGCGCGGCAGATGAAGCCAAGTGATCGACTTCAACTAGACCAGGCTTTCACGGCGAGGTAGTACTTGATCATCTGATGACGTCTAGAGGCGATATTTCATTTTTGTGACAAGTTGAGGTGGGAGACTCGCGAAACATGGCCCGAGCGTTCGAAGTGTCCAGGCCGTGGGGGTCGAGATGATGAAACTGCACTCACCACCTTGAGCTCCCAGGCTCGCAAACATCAAAACGTGGCATGTTGGAAGTGGTCGTTGTTCTCTTGTACATACATGAACGAGTGTCTGGGCCTGGTAGGCGCCCTGGAGCCATATGTCATGCAGGATGGAAATGCCTACATGACGCTCACCACGTGCCAATCTGGATGTCGAGGTCTAACCGGTGTTGGAGCTGGTCCAAGCGTCTTTCTTGCAGGTGCCGCTGATGGAGCTGTTTCTGGCCAATCAGAGCCTTTCAACCCACCCTCTCAGCGCGTCCTTGGCTGGCTGGGCGGTGGGCGGGCAGCCGCAGGCACCCTAGGGAGGGGGACAACCGCTGGGTCGACCTCATTTCTCATTTCGACACATTCAAGAGCTTCCCATCGCATCAACCGACGACACAAACCTCACAGAAGCCCAGCCGCAGGAGCCGGCGACGCTGATTACAATAGAACCCCTTTCTTCCCGAACGTCGGCTACCTCGTCCCCTGTACCATTATTTGCATTCAAGGAAATTTCTGTACGTTTGGGCCTCCAACTCCTGTCCCCCAATCTTCCCCTCCTCGTGTCTTCCGGCGCCGGCTTTGGGCCACCACCACTTGTCCACCTAGTCCTCTCACCAGCAAGCTACATCATATCGCCGGGTGGTGTATAGGACACACTCTAGCCAAGGCCTCCTCTTCACATGCTGCGACACCCTACCCGCTTGGACTTCGCATCGCACATTGTGCTGTTGTTTGTCCACCCCACCACGAGGCTTCGGCAAACACCTCCCCGATTATCTTGGCCAGGGCAGCCAGCAAGCTAACCCTCTCCTTCTTCGTCAGATACTAGACATTAAGATACCCGTCCGTTTTCGCTGCGCTTTTTCTGTCGCTGCAGCTTTCTCGGACACCAGAAATACACACAGCCGCCTGCCGATTGGGCACGCATCGCTTCCCTCGGCCCCTTTTGCGCGACACCCCACTTGATCACAACACATCACAACCTGCCTTGGAGCCAACAGCCACCATGTTTTGGAGGTTCGGCGGTTACAATGTCTCGGCCATCGATACGATCCTCGAGAAAGAGTCCTTTCAACTAGAGGAGCTTCTCGATGAAAGCGACCTCATCCAAGAGCTTAAGCAGCACAATCCCAAACTCGTTGAATACCTGCGCGAGCAGCAGGTGCTTGAGAAGCTTCTTCAATATGTAGTAGCGCCAAAGCTCAAACCTGTCGCGGCGCCAGATGCCGATGAGGAGGAGGAGCAAGAGGATGACGAGATCGGAAGGCCACCTGTTTTTCCCACCACCAGGTCTCGGTCGTCATCACGAGCGACCGAGCCCAGCGGCCAGGAGGAAAATGAAAAGAAGCGCAATCGATGCGCCTTCGTGGCGGCCGAAATACTGTCCTCAGACAACTACTCTATCCACGAGGCTCTTATGGAAAGCAGACCCCTCCTCCGGAATTTCTGGGAGTTCCTCAAGAGGCCGACGCCGCTCGATCCTTTGCAGGCCAGCTACTTCACCAAAGTAAACGAGTCTCTCTTCGATAAAAAGACGGAAGAAATGCTGGACCTTCTCAAGTCGTTTGAGGGAGCCATTGCCGATATTTTGAGACATGTGGACTGCCCCATGATCATGGATCTGCTGTTGAAGATCATCAGCTTGGAGCGCACAGAGAGCGGCCAAGGCGTTGTTGAGGTATGACATGTCAAGCTCGCGAGGGGAGGGAAATGACTGACAGTGACCTTTCTGCAGTGGCTATATACCCAGAACGTGATGCCAACTCTTCTCTCCTTCCTCGGACCAGAGCACAGCTGGGCCACCCAAACATCGGCCGCCGACTTCATCAAAGCCATCATCACTGTCTCAGCCAACGCTTCCCAAAACGAACAGACGTGTATCGGTCCGAACGAGCTGACAAGACAGCTGGTCTCCCGCCCTTGTGTCGAACAGTTGATCCAGTACATGCTGGGGGGTGGCAACCCACTCACGTGCGGTGTCGGCATCATCATTGAGGTCATTCGCAAAAACAACTCGGACTATGATCCCGAAGGCGTCGACGCCAACGCTCCTCCGTCGTGTCGCGACCCCATTTATCTCGGAACCCTTCTTCGCCTCTTTGCCGACCACGTTCCAGATTTCATGAGCCTGATCATGAACTCGACGGCACAAAAAGAACGTCTTTCCTCCACTTTCGGCGATAAGATCGAACCCCTTGGCTTTGATCGCTTCAAGACCTGCGAGCTAATGGCAGAACTTTTGCACTGCAGTAACATGGGCCTCTTGAACGAGGTTGGTTCTGAGCAGTTTATTGCTGCCCGTGACGCTCAGCGACAACGGTTGAGAGAAGAGGGCCGTTTGATCCCTGCTCGTGGGGTTGATGAAACGCCATCATCGACCGAGGATCTGACGATGCGCACGTCGCAGTCATCGCCTGCTGAGGAGAGGCGGAAGCTTGAGGTCATGAACATATCTGCCGATGACGATGGGTTTGAGGAAGTGAGCCATGACACCTCGGACGATGTTTTGGAGCTCCCGGATGCCCCTGCGCCTACCCAAGCCCCAACATTTTCCATGCTTGAAAAGGACGACGCGGACTTTGTTGATGAGCCACTCAGTTCACCAAGGCTGAACTTTAAGGATCTTGACGCGGAAAAGAGAGCGGAGTCACCACCGGCCTTCGAGGATCCTGATCTGGTCGTCGCGCCTCTGTCGCCCACCAAAAAGGCAGCTCAAACTGGTGCAAGCAAGGATCAACAGAGCCCACCCAAACCAGTGACTGACGAAAAAGAGCCGCAAACTTCGGACAAGAGCAAGGAAATCTCCACGGCGGAATTGCCTGCGTTGAGCACCGAGTCCTCCGTCCCCAAGGCTCTTGATGCTGCCGATACGTTGTCTCCCCACCCTGGTGACACGCCGGCTCCTTTATTTTCCAGTGCTACTGCCAAGGGTGATGAGGCCAAAGATAAGACTGAGCAAACGTCAGAGCCATCGCCATCGCCACCAAAGGCCGAAGCTGCTGAGGATTCACCTGCCGGCGCCAACGCCAATGAGACCACGGGGGAAATTTCCATCATCATTGCCCCCGCCAGCGACAGCGCCACTCCTGCTGAGGGAGCCTCAACCGCCCCCCGGCCGGTGGTCGGCGACTATCTCAAGATGCAGTTTGTTCGTCAGGAAGTGGTGCCCACCATCCTTCGGTTCTTCTTCAAGTACCCTTGGAACAACTTCCTTCACAATGTTGTCTACGATATCGTGCAGCAGGTGTTCAACGGCCCTATGGATCGCGGTTTCAACCCAACGCTGGCCATCAGTCTCTTCGAGGCTGCCGACATCACCAACCAAATCATCAACGGTCAGCTCGCCAGTGAAGAGTCGCAGGCCCAACACAAGACACGCATGGGTTACATGGGCCATTTGACGCTGATCGCCGAGGAAGTGGTCAAGTTCACGGAGCGTCACCCCCCCGAGCTGCTCAGCGAGGTTGTCTTGGACAAGGTCATGGCGCAGGATTGGATCAGCTACGTTGAGGGCGCGCTTGCTGAAACTCGCGAGCGTGATAATGCCATTCTTGGAGGGGTCAGGCCCGAGGTTGCTATGAGCAACCGGGCCGCCCAGTCTAGTTTGGTGGGCGTCGGCCTCAACGGACTGAGCTCAATCGGGCTGGGGGGAAACAACTCCAACACTCTTGCCGAGGCTGGCCTGGGTGGCGGGTCAGACTTGGGTGGCGGGTCCGGTGCCGGTGTCTCGCCGTTTGGGATCAGCAGTGGTACCATGATGAGCGGTTTCGGCAGCTCGAGCGATGAAGATGAGGACGAGGAGCAAGAGAGCGAGGAGGATGTCAATAACGAGGTTGGTGAAGATTTTGTTAGTGTGCAGTATTTTCTCCCAAGTGGGTTGCTTGATCCTCCAGAGGACCGTTCTAGCATCACCGAGGTGCCGTGGGGGTATGGGGATTCTCTGAGAGGCGGCTACCGATTCGGTGCACGGGCCGAGTCGAGTGACTCGGAAGGGTCAGATTACGGGGAAGGGCATGAGAGCGACGACCAAACTACCAGTCCTAACACATCGGCGTTTGACGAAGAAGAGGCTGCCCACAACGAGGCCCTGGGCTTTGGGGATATCAGGCAACATGGGTCTGTGGCGAGGGACGTTCCAGACGACACCGGAAGCCGTGATCCTCCATACGACCACGTGCTAGACAGTCGGGATGGGCCCAACCCATGCACAGAAGACGACAAGGCTCTCAGTCTATTCATCCAGAGCATGATCGACGCCCGCACCCGAGGGCTTGATGAATCCATGGACACGTCAGAGTGATTGGGAAGGAATAGTGGAAAAGAGTTGGGTATCAAGGGGTTCTTTGGCGATATTTGCATCTTTTTTTTTCTTGACAGAGGATTACAAGGCATTTTGAGCAAGCGCTAGACGAGCGGGGTTCCCCGGTACTATGGTTTCCAAAAGTCTTTTGGCTCTCCGGTTCTCCTATCCTTATTTTTCTTTGGCATACAAGTGGCGCGAGTCGGTCCCCCCTTCCATTTCCATACCGTTTGCCTTTGAGCCATGTTGAGGGTTCCTTTTCCACTTTTCCAGACCTACCTGTCCAAACCAATACGGCCCTTCTCCCCTGTGTTGCCATCACAACCTTTTGCAGACAAAGTGCTAACCCTGGCTTGGCTTTCAGTTTCGTGCGTATACCGATCCGTTGAATGCCAACTCGTCCAATTCCTTGAACCCGCCATCGATCCCGCCACCGCCGCCACCTCCACCACCTCTCAACATTATGCCGTCTAGAGCCCGTATGCAGCTGGCGGCTCGCCTAGCCAAGCGGAATGCGGCTGCGGCTGCGGAGAATGGCGGGCAGGAAGGAAGCTCGTCCAACACGGACGACGGGACTTCGGATGCCTTCACCCTTCCCAGCCTGTCAGCAAGCGAGCGACTGCGCAACCCGTTTGCCGATGACGGTGATGACGAGGACAATAGCAGCGACGAGGACAACCTCGACAATGCCGAGGACGAGGGAGGCGCAAGCAGCTCGGCGTGGAACAGAGGTTCGTGGTGGAGAGGTGTCGTTGGCGGTCGCAGTTCAAGCAGGAGACAAGGCGATAATGAGAATCAAGAGAAGGAACGCTTCGGCGACGGGCGGGATGACACTGACGATTCGGATGATGCCGTCCACGAAGACGACATTGACGACGAGGAGTTTGGTGATTTCGCCATGCCCGAGGTTCAGTCGTCGGGAGCCATGGTCAGCGGGATCGATCCAGCCAGGGAGAAGATTCTTGTCAAGCCCATGGCTCTTCACCCCAGTGCTGCCAAGAGCTCGTTTGGCAGCTTGTGGCCTTTTGGGGGTCAAGGCTTCGGTGCGAACAAGGAGAAGGAGCAAGAGAAGATGACAGAGGGCGAGCCGGGGACGTCGACGTCGTCATCTTCTCCTGCCAATGCCATCACCGAGGAGCCGGTGGAACTTGGCAAGGAAGAGGATGAGGGCGTCATTGGAGAGGATGGGCAGAAGATCAACAGGGCGGTAGAGGCGAAGAGGAGAACGAGTATCGAGGACCCGGACGACGATGATGTGGGTGGGGAGGAGATCATTGTGCATAAGGGACCGGGAGTGCATTAGGTCAAGGGGATATACCAGGTATGATGATGCTTGCATTTTGGGACGAGTGATGGGTGCATGCATGAACGGTAGCATGGGGGAGGGGGGCATGGCATACAAGAGGTACCCTGCAGGTGGTCAGTTGTGATGAGTTGAGTGACGACGGAGGATGGAGGATGGAGTTTGCGATCTTTTTGAGCACGTACTTGTATTTGTAGTGGAATTGATGTTTGTTTTTATGTCATCATGTCGGGTGGTGTTCTGGCCAGGCTCGCCTCGCCAGGCCTTTTGGAAGTGGGCATGTGGATGTGGAGTGGAGCCGCGGGCCGGTGGGCGGTGATCGACGGTGGGGTTCTTGGCGCGCGTTCCTGGATTTCGAACATGGGCTTTATTAAGTCTTCTTTTTCAGTTCACAGCTCTTTGCAGAGACGAGATGCTTTGGTGTTTGGCCTTTTGGGCTGTTGATTCCTCATGATTGTGACTCCAACTGGGATAAGCAGAGCTACAGAAGTACGTGCGAGTCTTGAGGGTTGGTTGGTTTGCTGTCAGTTGAGTTGAGTGGCCAAGACTGCCCCGCGCACGGTTGGGTGGGTGCCTTGCATCTCAACTTGCTTGTCGCATGACTTTGCAGACTTGGAATGTTTTGCGCCGGGCACTATATCAGCTGAAACTACGTGTCTCCCGATCTGTTCAGCATGTCTGGGAGTCTTTATCGACCTTGGGCTATCCATGCGCCCAACTTTTATTTCGGATAGGTGATCCGGGTTGGGTTGGGTGAGTCGAATGTCTTTGGAGGCGATGTGATTGCCCCTCCCCGCCACCCTGAGCTGGTTTGAGGGGCGCGGGACAGTGTTTGAGATCTTGTCGTGCGATTCGTTTCTCCTGTCTTGGATCGTTGGAACTTGATTATCTTGTAGATGTTATAACACGACCTACCCCAACTTGCTCTACCTACCTGGACCTAACCCCGAATACTTGACGACGCCCGCGCACGAACAAGAAGGAGACCTATGATACCCCGCGATCGAGATATTTTTGCGCGATAGCACTTGCAGAAAGAAATGGACAACTCTGCGCCAGCGTCAGGACAGAATGACACCACCGCGACGACGAGTAGAGCATTGACCCACGAACCACCCCCTTTCCTCTCGAGGATAACCCGCCTCTCCCGAATCTACACGGCGAAATCGCTAGCTTTTCCTTCGGCCTGGCTCAGGGAGTGGAAGGAGTACTTTTACCCGCCGTCGACGAGGCCGGATATAGTGAAGAGTTATGAGTGCAGGCCTGATTTGCCTGTCCGGTATGTGCCCTGCCCAACCCCCCGCCCCTCTCCCTGTTTCCCATCTATCCGATGCCATGGAATTTGCTGATATTTACTGTTGGGTTATGCAGTATCTTCTTCCCCTCCTCCTACGACCTAACCTCCCCCTCCACCCTCCCAACTCTCTTCACAGTCCACGGCTCCGCCGCCGCGCCTTTTGTCCTGGGCACTCCGAGAGATGACGACGAGTTCAACCGGACATTTGCGGATAAATACCACGTCTTGGTGATAGCGCTGAACTACTCCAAAGCCCCTGCTTCGGTGTTTCCCGCACCGGTGCACGACGTGGAGGCTTTGCTGGTCGATGCGTTGGGGGATGAGAGTCTTCCTATAGACAGAACGTCTCCAAGGGGGGTGGACGACGATAAGAAGAAGGGACGGGTGGGGATACTGGGTTTCGGTGCGGGGGGGAATTTAGCGATGGCGGTGACGCTGCTTGAAGGGGTGAAGAGGGAGGAGTGTTGCCCGGGAGTGGTGGTCAGTTGGGGGGGTTGGCTGGATCTTGCGGCGGGCGGTGGGGAGGAGGGGGCGTGGAGGTGGGGGTATGTGCCTTATGGGGTTGACTTGAGGGACGGGTTGGTTAGTCCTTTTTATGCGCGGGGTGGGGAGGGGTTTAGGGGGTTTATTGCTGGGGAGGGGGATGGGTTGGCTGGGGAGAATGAGGGTTTGGCTAGGAGGTTGGTGGGGAAGGGGGAGGTAAGCAGGAGGGAGATAAACTCGGAAGGGGGGGTTAAGAAAAGGTTGGAGAAAGAGGACGAGAGGTTTTGGTTTGAGGAGGGGAGGGTGAAGTGGGTGCTTGTGCCGGGGGTTGGGGCCGGGTTTGAGCATAGGGAGGTGAGGGAGGAGATGGGTTGGGAGGAGGAGGTGGTTAAGGATGCGGAGGAGAAGACGGAGTTGGTGATGGAGGAGTTAGGGGGCTGGCTGAGAAGGGTTTGGGGGGTGAATGGGTGATTGATATGACTGGGTGGACACTTTCGCTCTCGCGGTTGCTGTGGTTTGCAGCCTTTGCTGTTTTGCGGCCAGAATTGTGCTCTGATTCAACGATACTTGCAGTTTGATATTGTGGACGGGGGTGCATGATAGGCCCCACTTCCGGCCTTTGGAGCCAACAAATTAGATAACCCCTTGTGGTGTAGTTGGCTATCACGTTCGGCTGTAAAGGAATTTATTGATACCGAAAGGTCACCGGCTCGATTCCGGTCGAGGGGAGATGTTCTTTTTTGCTTTTCTTTCCTGCAGATGCTCCGCTACATAATTGTTATATCTGCTTATGGGTTTTGGAATCAATCCATGTTCATGATCGAGTCTGCATGCTCAATCTTTTGCAGATCGAGCGAGGTAGTCCAGGCGAAGCTGACTTTATATGCATGCCTTCATTGGAATGCCCCTGGAACTATCACCTCCTTTTCCATTCATGGCCCTGGCCCAATGATGGGGTTCCTAAAAAGTCTCTCTGGATCCGTGGAAGCCCTCTAAAGGCCTATTAGGTAACACAGGAAGCGTTTGCCTTCACGCAACGATGTCTTCCTTGATCTCACTGGAGTTTCCTATCATACTGTCCGGAGCGCGCAGGCTGGGCCGGTGGCTAGATGAAGGTTTTGTGGCTTGACGCCATGAAGTCATGTTATAGGGCATGTGACTCGTGAGCAAAACCTACCTGGGAGACGGCAGCTAAGCTTTCTCCTATGTAAGCCACTGTAAAAATTGATTCTGTTTCTCAACCATTCACCCAAGCCCACCCTCACCACACCCTCCAATGGCAGCAGCATAGGAACGATGGATGGTCGCGCCAAAACGATGAATGCTGCCCTTTCAACGGCGGATACTGGCCTCGAAACGTCGAATATGACCCCCGAAACGATGATGGATATCGACTCCGAGTCTTCACTCATCATGCGACTGCCTGTCGAGCTTCTACTCAACATCGCTTCCCACCTCCTGCCTCACAGCGCGATGCTCTTTGCCCTCACATGTAAGAAGCACTGGCAGATCCCAAGTAAGTAGATACGCAAACAGCTCGGTCCCAACCAACTCGAGGGAAACCCACCTAGCCGGTACCTCCACGCTCGTCGCTATCTCCTCTTGTATTTATACGGAGACTTGGAACACACGCACAGTCTATTGACGTGGAATTCCGGCTTTGGCGCTCCACGACCCTGGAGAGAATTTTGGGAGCTCAACGAGTGGGAGAAGGAGCGGGCTTTCAGCTGGCGCTATATGCCCGAGGGAAACGTCGACATAGGTGTATTCGTTTCAAATCGCGCCGAGGGTACGTGAATTTCTCGCCACTCAAGCCATTGGGGACCGTTCATCTAACAGTATCCCCACCTAGTTGACGAATACATGTTGATTTGTAAACCGCGTGGGAGATCTCGGAAGAAAAGGCGCTGGATACGAAACAAAAGAGGTTGCTTCGCGCCGCAAGGAGCAAATGAATTGATCATGTTTTCGGGACTGCTCGGACGGACACAAATGGAATGGCCGGAAGTTGAGATGGATCGAGAAATGCGGCCTAAATGGTACCTATACAATGTTAGCTAGGTAGATATCTTTTCAGTCCCGTTCGTTCCTTTTGTTTGCCTTGTTATTATCACAATGCACAGTCAGCGTGAGACATGCAATCCTGTCGGCCACATGGCAGACCCGCGAATCGAGACGAAGCTCGACGACCCCTCCCTCGCTGGCTTTTCTGGCTTCGACAGCTCGAGCGCCACAGAGCGGCATTCCCTGACCCCGAACGAGACAAGCGCAGCTGGTGTACGCCAATGGCAGCGACGCCTGCCTTTGTCTGCCTGTGCATGCCGTGGGAAGAGGGTAGGTGGAATAAAGGCGGCACCGGCGGCCCCCCCCCCCCCCCCGCCTTGAAGATCATGTCGTTAATCTGTCTTTTTGTCTCACCTCTCACCTCTCACCTCCAGCTGCGGGGACAATGAATCGCAACCTTAGCTGGTGCAAGGGAAAGATATCCAGAGAGTAACATTACTCTGACAACATATTATCTAGTGCTTTCCCGTCTAACCTCCGGCGGAACAGTTCACCACCTCCCTGGATATACCTAACGGCTATATACCGGACAGCTGGCACCGGAACGACGGAGTGGGATAGATTGTGACAGTACTCCCGCTCCATCGGTCCCTGGCTTTAGGCTCGTCCCATCCTGCATCATGGAGCAACCCCGGAAACACTCGGCCTCTCGTCCAATCGAGTATCTCCTCTCAGGCATCTCATCGACATCGGCCATCCTCACACGCTTCATCCGGTCTGTACGAGCCTCCCATTCCGATCTCTCTGCTGTCACCCGCGAGCTGTCCGACCTCAGGCTTTTGCTGGAGCTGCTTCGAGATGAGCCTTCTATTCCTTTGTTATTGCAGGCGCAAATGCTGCTGCTGCTGGAAAGCTGTGGGAATACGCTGATACGCATCGATTCAATCCTCACCCAATGCCGGAATGCAACAGACTGGAATCAAGCCGGACGAGCGCAGATCGGACAGTGCCGTGACGATATAGGATTATTTCGTGAGGTACTGGGACTTGCCTTAGATATCTTGAGCTTGTAAGTGGCCAGTCTTCTTCGTCCGCCGAATTTCCAAGGTGTTCATGTTAATTTTGTCCTGAAGAGACCCATCCCAACAAAGCAGTGCCTCTGAATCAAACACCATCAAAGAAAATGTCAAGGGCGAGGTTGAGCGATTGCGAGCCAAAACTCTGTCTAACGAAAAGCATGACCCGGACACCAGCGAAGTTCTTGACCTGTATCTGGATGCTGTTACCAACTGCGTTCGGTCCTATGAGAAGAAGTCACAGGCGGCACGCGAGAGGTCCGGGTCAGAAGATACCGTGTAAGCCGTCGAAGAGAACACCACCTACCTTGCAGAGATAAACTAACAATGGCCAGAACAACGGGAGATGTCACGAACCACGACACGCCGGGAATTGAACAGAACCTTGAAGCAGTCCGTTTGTCTCAGAAAACGCACGTACCAGCAACGAAGCACAGGACCAACGATGAGCCGGCAGGAGCAAGTTCAGCTTCCAATGCCAGGGCGCCAATGCCACATGAGGACGCCGACAAATGGACATCGTCTCGAACCAATGCCTTTTCTTATTACAGTGGCCAACCGGACTCCATCACGGTGAAGCGCCCTGAAGATCATGAGCCATTGCCAGATGTGCCACCAGTCCCTCCAGTCCCGCCGGCACAAGCACCTCCAACAGTGCCTCCACGGCCTCTGCCCGAATCGCCCACGCTACCAGGACGCTCCGGCACTTCGACGCCAGTCCCGCCGAGAGAGATCAATCTTCCACCGCCCCTGGCAAGATCAGCCTGGAGTCACGAAGATTCCCCGTCCACCAAGTCTGAGCCTCTCGGCTCGGGGGGTTATCTCGAGCCCGAGTCTCCCACCTTCTCCTCAGAGCGTTGGTCTGAGCCTGTCCAGGCCTCCCAGGGTTATCCAGAAACCGAGCGATCCCGTCAAATATCGGTTGCCCCGAGTGAAAGTCCACAGTCGGGACGAGAAAGCCCTCGTACCTCATTCTCGTTTAACCGCATCATGTCTGGTATCAGCGAGGTGTCGGCAGTTCGTTCCGACACTTCGAGTCCTCGGCGGCCATCTCCGGGCCCATCCATGGTCAGTGCCATGTCACCATATCACCAGTCACCTCCCTTTTCACCGCCACCCGAGTACCGTCGAAGTCCGACGCCCAGATCGCAGTGGTCGCCTGGGTTGGCGTCACCCAGTCTTGTCTCTCCCGGCCTCATGCCTCCAAGCACCAACAGTCCCAGCATCATCGCCCCCAGTATTGGATTCGCAAGCCAACTCGTCATACAACCGCCGGCAAAACACAGTGGGCATCAGGGTCGAATCGAGGTCACCCCCGCTCGCCATCTGACAGATAAGGCCAAGTCCACTCGGATCCTGCATATTGACACTTCACCAGCAAATATATTTGTAGCCACCAAACATGATCCCAAGACCGTCAAGATCTGGGCCATCGCCAAAAGCGCGCTGCATAGCACCATCAAAATCACGTCTTATGTGCAACCTCAGGTTCGATCCAGAGAGTACTTCATCCGCAGTCACGCAATCTTGTCGGAAAACGCCACCCTCATAGGTATCACAACCCACTTTGGGCTCACCCTCGAAATATGGAACTTTGCCAAAGGCGGCACCTCTGCCAAAAAGGTCCAGACCATCGACGAAGCCCACCGGTGGGCAGCCTCCAAGCGGGACGCTTACCACACCGACTACGCACCACTCGTAGTCTACCGCCCCAAAGGCGACCGAATCGACCGCTTCTTCCTCGCAAGACACCCCTCCGCCAAGAGACCCTTCTGGGAGGACTCAACCCACTCGATTGAGCTCCTCAAGGCCGAACTCCCCTTTGTCCCCAAGTTCCCCGAGCTGGCCTTCTCGTCCGACTCCCCTTTTTTGGTCGCAGCAGCCGGACCACGACCGGGTGACGCCCCCAGAGCTCACGCGACGATACTGATCGCGTGGCTCATGAAACCGACCTCTGACCACAAGCTCCGCGCTCGAACCCCCAACGCGACGGTGACGTCGCTCGAGGATGAAGACCGCCACAAGCCGTACAGAGTCCACATACCGGAATACCCCGCCTTGCAGACCGCCCTTCCAGCCTCGCTCATCGCGTGTGGGTCATTGGCGGTGTCGATTTGGATACCGGCCAACCACACCGACGTTGCCGTTCCGGGGGGGAAATATCGCCGACAACCACTCCCGGCACCGGAACGGTTTGTTGTCGTCTGGGACTTGCCTACCAACTCGACGAGGATATTCGCGATTCCTAATGTTCAGGCTTGTATCTCCCCCAACTGCAAGTATGTCGCTTATTGTGATGCGAACGCGGGGCAGTTTGTGATTATTGAGGTTGAGACGGCGGAGGAGATTTGGAAGTGGCCTGATGCGGTTAAAGGGAAAAAGAACAAGAACAACCACAACCATCTGGCGGGGTTTGGGGGCCAGTTTGAGGATTTGCACAAGGTGACGGTGTTTGAGTTTTCGCCGGATGGGGGGATGTTGGTTGTGGGGGATGATAAGGGGAGCTTGGGGGTTTATGAGGTGGAGAAGGGGGAGGAGAGGTTTGAGCTCGGGAGTGGGATGGAGGTTAGTTTGGCTGATGTGGGGCACTACCCGAGGGGGGTTGAGCAGCAGCAGCAGCAGCAGCAGCAGAGCAGTAGGTTTTCGGATTCGAGTTTGTATGTGCCGTTGGGATGGCAGGGTCAGCAGGGAGGGGGGGGTGGGAATGGGAGTGGGAGTAGTGGGGCTTTGGAGTGGACGGGGAGGAGGAACTGAGGTTGAGCAGGGGGTTGTTATGTCTTGTGGGATAGGGGTGAATTTTTTTTTTTTGCCGTCATGGAATGGTGAGTTTTGGTCTTTGGGATATATGGTTGTGAATGAGATACCCGGGGACGGCTGATGGGAGGCAAAGTTGAGGGAAACAGATTGTTTGGAAGGCTTGGTCTTTTGGTTCTTGTTTACCCCCTTTTAGTCATATAACTCCATAGGTTCTTCTCAGCTAAATGGTAACTTTTATATCTAAAAAAGCGTTTAGGAAATACTCGGTCCCTTTTAAGTGCACACGGTGGTTTAGCTGCCCTACTTGGAAGTCTAGAAATACGTGTTCGGGGCAACCAAAGAAGCTTACTCAAAGGCTAGCAGCATAGCGGGAGAGGGCTGAAAAGTTCAGAGATTCGGGAGGAGAAAATACATACACGATTGCCCTGGGGAAGAAAACATTGGCATGGTCGACAGACTGGTTTAGCAAAAATGTCAAAAGGATGGGGCCGAGCCAGGGCTCGAACCTGGGACCACTTGCAACAGCAATGAGAGGAAGTTCCCAAAGCAAGTATGCTACCACTACACCACACGGCCTTGGATGGATTGATGGAAAAGCACGTCGAAAATTGGATATGTAATGGGTTAGCGTTCTTTAGTTTTGCAACATTGGTCTCTTGGTTTCTACTGACTTTGCGGTGTTTAGTTGTGACGATGGAAAGTTTCGAAGCATGTGGATGGGATCTGGATAAGGGTTTCGGGATATGACGTGTTTGACTATTAATTGATGTAGATGTTCTGACACTCATGAAATGGGAACCGGTCTTTACCCGACTCGGCCCTTCAAATCTCCATAACCCTCGCCGGATCAATCTTATACTCACGGGAGGCCTACTGCTTTGTCCTCGCCTCCCCATCGCTGGCAGGCCGTGGTGTCTGACCCTTTTCAGCTGCATCATCAGAAGAGCTTTCACCCTTGCTCACCAGCCCAAACTCCGTTTCGTGCTCCTTTCGAAGTGGCACATGCTTCTCAACAAACGTGGCAAGGAAGCCTAGACCGGCCATGCCAACAATGACATACCAGACCGCATTGAGAGCGTGGACGTAAATCCCGATCAGCGCGCTCCGGATGTCAGCTGGCAACGACCGGATCCCGCCCTCCGCCTCCGAGGCAGACACGAAAGCGTACGCGGCTCCATCCGCCAGGAAAGACTTGAGCTCCCGGCTCAACACTGTGTTGCTCTCCAGCCGTGTGTTGAACTGCCCGTTGAAGACGATACTCGCCATCGTGACGCCCCACACCAGGCCAAACGACCTCACAAAGCTGTACGTCCCCGTAGCGACGCCGACATCCTTCTCCTGCAGCGGTGCCAGCGTCGATGGAAGCGTGGCGGTAAAGATGACAGCCGTTCCCGCCGAAGCCAAAATCTGAAACCCAACCCACGTCCCCGTGCTCGAGTTCTCGCTGAGCAACGAGAACAACCCAACCCCGATCGCGCTGAAGGCAAACCCGACAAAATGCAGAGGGATATACAACCCCGTCTTTGACATGAAAAACCCCGTCATCCCCCCCAGAGGGATGATCGCCAGCGCAAACGGCAAAAAGTACACCCCCGCCGTCAACGGGCTCACCCCGAGCACACCCTGGAAGTACACGGGCAGAAAATAGCTAATCGCCTGCAGCACCACACCCCCGAAAAAGATAATCACAAACCCGGCCGCCGATGTCCTATGTTTAAACAACCTCATCGGCATGCTCGGCTCAACAGGACCCCACCTCTTCCCCTCAGCGGACTGATGAACATGAAACGCCACCCACCCAGCCACACCCATCACTATCGGAACAACAATCTTTTCGCTCTTCCAAGGGTAACCCCTCGTGCCCCCCATGATAAGCCCAAAGAACAGGCTGACCATACTGGGTATAAACAGCCCGTTGCCCACCCAATCAACCCGTCTCACCACCTCCCCCCACCCCAAACTCTGATACCTCACCCGGAGAAGCAACAAAACAACAACGAACCCAACAGCAGAAACAGGCAGGTTGAGCCAGAAGATCCACCTCCAATCCGCCCTCGCCAACGCACCTCCTATGATGGGGCCGATGGTGGTCCCAATAGCAGCGGTGCTCAAGACAGCACTTAGATACGGCCCTCGATGCCTGGGGGGGATCATGTCACAGATGATGATATCGCTCAGGACGTACAACCCCCCCGTTCCGAGCCCTTGGACTGTTCTTCCCGCGATGAGCATGGCAACGCTGCTCGCTCCACCGGCGATGCCTGACCCGAGGGCGAACAAGGCGATGGAGACGAGCATCGGGTTGCGACGGCCGAAAATGTTGGATATCTGCCCGAAGAAGGGCTGGGGGGCGGTGGAGGCGAAGAGGTAGGTGTTGGCTATCCAGACGTAGTCATTGCTGGAAGCCGGGGAGCCGTGGTTGAGGGAGTGGGTTATCGTCGGGAGGGAGGTGGTGATGATTGTTGCGTCGATGGCGGAGATGAAGGAGAGGAGGCAGAGGACGAGGAAGACGAGCCAGATGCGGAGGGAGTGGGTGAACTTGTCCGCTTCTTTGACTACTGTGGGGGAGGTCTTCTCGGCGGTGTCGTGGTGGGAGGGGGTTTGGAGGAGGGAGCCTGGGTCGGCGGGGGAGGCTGTTGGGCCTAGGGGAGCCGCCATGATTTGGTGTGAGCTCTGGTGATAATGGAGCTGACTGTAAGAAAGAGGTGAAGTCGAGACAGAGGACGGAGAAGGATCAAGCGGGTACGGCGTTCAAAAAGCCGTTTGAGCTAGTCCGTACATGTTACAACCCCGGCAGATGTGGGAGGGGAGGAGGATTGAGGGAATGAGAGGAGGAGAATGGTGGGGGGGAAGGGGTGAAGGTGGAAAGAAAAATAAAATGTCTGTCGGTTGGGCCAGGCTGCCTTGACAAGTCATAAAAAATGCGAACCAACTGTTCGGATGTTGCGTTGGGAGATCATCGCTCAAACAAACGACAAGCTGATGACAGGTTCAAGTCGACACAGTGTGTCGCTTTCCAGGCGTCCCAGGGGGGTTGCATGCACGTCGGGACGTTTACCTTGCATGAAGGGGGGTGTGGTAGCGTGGCCAGGCTGAGCTGGTAGCACACGTACAGTGCCCCGGGTGTTAATATAAAACACATACTGGATATCAAATCAGAGGACCCTGCCCCCATCCACACAAGTCAGACTGTTGACTGCCTGACAGCCCGCGTCTCTGCGCATAGGAACCAACAGCCCAACAATGTGAAACCGAGGCCGAAGAAGCCGCCTTATTTTTGATATCTGATAATCTAGACCGAAACAAGAGGTGTCGCCAAGCCACGAACACAACGAACACACCCAAGATACACCCAGCTCAAGACAGGGAGGAAGCAGTTAACCCCGCGATCCCGCAGAAACCAAAGACCCACGACGCCGCAAGACGGAAGAGCGCCCAGCTGGGGTTGCCCCCCTTGTAGACGATATACGTGTCGAGAATGCCAGCATAAAACCCATACACCGTCATGATGGTGTCCAACTCGGCGAATTTCCCCCTAAAGTAAAAGAGGAAGGCGACAAGACCGATGATGGTGGTGCGAGACTGGCCTTGAACCATGACAGGCTTTGTCTCGGGTGCTTGGGCGACGTTGGGAGGGAAGCCAAACTCGAGCATGGCCCCCTCGGCGTTGAAGATTGGCCAGATGCCGCCAAAGGTGCTGCTGGCGGCGAGAATAAGCGCGGGGATGTGGCGTAGAGAGAAAGGATACGACATTGTGATTTGCCAGCGGAGGCGCGGATTTCTTGGAAAGGGTTTAGTTTTTTGTCGATCTCTGGTAGGCAGGAAGGAAGGAAGGAAAAGATAGGTATTGGAGGTGTGGGCAAGGAGGCAAGCAAAGCTAAAGACGGGCGAAACACGAGTCTTGATATGCACCGAGCGGCAGGAGGGGAGGCGGGGGAAAGCCACGAGCGGTTAGCTGTTTGTAGGGGCTGCAAGCAGACAAGCAGACAGAACAAACGTCCTTGTTGCACAGTGCGGAGGTGTTGTCCCAATCAAGTGCTGTGTTTCATCCGACTTTGCTGCGGCGCGGATATCGGCCCGGTTGAGAGAGGCACAGCACGCCTCGTCTTTCCAGCCCCCAAACCCGCGACTTGGCTGGGCGCTGGAGAACTGGAGAACGGCATTTCGACGGGTCCTTCTGCCACTGCCGTGCTGACATGCCCCCCCAAAACAGCCGCGCATCTGATACCTACAACTGCAGCCTTGCGGCGAAGCGCTGCGAACCAAGAACGCGGCAATCTAGACATCAAGTCTGCTCAGCCTATTGGTCTATGAGTACGAGCAATGGAAGGTGAGGTGATATCGTGAAAAGGCAGCAGCGAGCATAGCATCGCAGTATGTGCGATAGCCGTGCCGCACCCACTGCGCAGTAGCGTGGAAGATCACAGTAAAAATAATAGTTATGTTTCATTCACGTATGCAACTATGGTATCTAAAATCTTACAAGCCACTCCCCTCCCTCATTCCCGCGCAGTCAAGCTAATCTTGGTCCCAGGAAAAGGATAAATAAACGTCCGCCAAGCAAAATACCTCGCCGCCCCCGGGTCCGTTAGCTGCATATCGTATTTTGCGATGAGCAACCCCAGCATGGCCTTCATGACTGCCGTGGCGTAAAACCGCCCAGGGCTGCGCCGTTGGTGATAGCAACGTCAGTGTCTTACTCTTAGTCAAACAACCTCGGACTGGGGAGGGAAAACCTACCAAGCGCACCTTCCTGTGCCCCATAGCTGCCAGTCAGATGTGCTGGTGAAGTCGGATGATTTGTCACCTGCCGAGAATGATGGGCGGTTGTCGATTTTAGCGACAACCGCCGGGTCCGCAAAGCGGAAGCCTTGAAAGTCGGTGGGTTTGGAGAAGACGGACGAGTCCATTGCCATGCCGCGGGCTGCCGTGACGATCCATTCGCCCGGGTTGACGGCTGTGCCATCTGATAGCTTGAAGGGCTCGAGTGCCATGCGGCGGGTGCTGACCGATTCGACCGGTGTTATCCTGGCGGATTCTTTCATGAAGCTGTCGAGGAGGGGGAAGCATTTGCCGCCTGACTTCTCGAACGTCTCCCAGCCGGTGGCCTCGATCTCTTTGCGGAGGGGCTCGACGTATTCCGGGTGGAGGCAGAGGTCGTGGATGGTGAAGCAGACGGTGGTGGAAGTAATGTGGACTGATCCAAACCACAAGGCAATGAGCTCGTAGACGATCCTTTCGGCCGTCCAAGGGCTGTTTCTTGGGGCGCTCTCCATGATCCATTGCATGCAGTCTTTCTGCAGAGAGGAATCAGCTGTCAGTATTGCATTTTCGTAGGCGCAAGGTGGCGAGACTTACATGTTCAGGTACCTTCTGTCCAAGTTTGGCTCTGGCGTACTCGTCCACCCGCTCAGCAGCGACTGGGAGCAAGGTGTCAAAGATTACAGAGCTGGAGTTGAGCTTGTTGGAAAGGAACTTTCCGATAGGCCTTGAAAGAGTAGGAAGTCAGCTACATCTCGCCCTCGAACAGCGACGGGAAAAGGTGAGCTTACTCGGACAGAAACTGGGGCAGCAACCGCAAGATCTCAGCAATGAGCAGGGTCTGCTCAATAAAGGTCATGGCCGCCTTCATGAACCTTTCATTTTTGGCCAAGTCCTCGCCGAAGAACGCCAAAGCATTCGAGTGTGCGATTGCCTTGATGATGATGTGGTAGAGCTTTGGCGTCATGGTCTTTCCATCCTCAAGCTTGGGGGCCGAATCAATCTCGTTGTCCATCAAGGCGCTCATTGAACGTCTGATTTGGGGAAGAACCTCAGGCAAGTGGTTCGTGAGCATGACGCGAAGGGTTCTGATCAGTGGAATCCCCTCGGCACCCCTCTTGTCCATCCAGTTGAAGCTTGACATGGTGTGTTTGGGTTGAAGAAGCTGCTTGGCTGCGGCCTGAAGAGAGAGCACATGGTCGGGAGCTGAGTCGATCTCCTTGATGTGTTTCCAGGACGACACGACGACATAACGGTTCTCGGGGACGTCGATGTGGAATGGCTTCCCAGGTCCGGCCTTGTTGAATTCTTCCTCGATGATCTTGGGTCCTTGAAAGAGGAAAAGCCATGCTCGAGCACGTCTTTTGAGGAAAGATATGGGCGAGTGGGCCACAAGCCATGTCCGGGAAGAGGTGAGGATGTTGACAAGTGTAAAAACGATGGCCAGGGATAAGCAACTAAGCACGAACCCCTCGGTCTCGCCGCCGGTGGAAAAGGTGTTTAGCAACATGGCGGCGTCTGCCTTGGGGAGGTGAATGATGTTGGGATGGTGAACAAAGACAGAACTTCTGGAAGCTTGAAGACAGAATGGTTTATCAACATCAACTGATCATCGAGGGCCGCCTTAGCTGTCCCGAGAACCATCCCGAGGTTCCCGACGGCTTGGTTCTCTTATATAGCTACTATACTCAAAAAGTCTCAGTTGCGGCACTGCACACTGGTCAGCCAGTCACTTCACGGGCAGTCTGGCTCATCTCGCATCCAGTTGTCACTGATAGGGGGCTCCCTTTGAGCGTCGGCACCAATGCCACACTCCTGATAACTTTTCAAGTTTCAACGCACCGTCTTATCCACCGGTTGGTCGCGAGCAATCCGCCAAGGCGTGATGTGTTTGCGGCGTTGGTCGTATGTCGTTGTGTCTTGCACGCTCAGCCCGATTTGGGGATTGCCCCGTGCAAAAAAGGACTTCGTCTCTGCTACGCCACTGATCATCTACGGGAATTGCAAGACATCTTCACGGCGGACAGTTACATCGGTTGCTGTGCCCTTCTCGGATTGACTAAGGCTGGACACCTTTGCCCTGCTAGTGCAAGGCTTCTTCTCTTCAGAGTTGGTAGCTCCAGACAGATGGCAGTTACGAGCCGGAGCAACGGCGCTGGCTTTTATGCCACGAGCATGCATCTAGGCGATGTTGCAACGTTGTGCACACGTGGGAAAGGTACAAAATGGCACAGTGCACAGTTTAATCTCTCATACGGCCCAGTATATCTGTCGTGGCTTTGGCGCCCTGCATGGGCTTTGCCGCGAGCCTACACGCCTAGCGGTAGTCGCGCTACCAGCTTACGGAAAGGATCAGTAAGCACCCATGTAGCGCTGACGCTAACAGACAGAAAATTCAGGAATGGTAGTTGCTCATGGCGTGGCTTAGTGTTTGTCTCTACTTATTTTCTGTCCAGCCGGCAGCGTAGCATCGAGCCTGTTGTCCGAAAAGGGTGCAGCAGTGTTCCAAACATCGGTCTTAGTCAGTGGCAGGGCAGAAGCGCTACCACCCCGCACTCGCTGTTTTTTTTCTTTTTTTTTCTTTCAGGCACTGATGCAACTGAAGCAGCCTGTGGTCGCAAGTCCTCTCTGGCATCTCTCATCTAGATGCTGAACATCTAGTGTCTCAAAGCTCTCTACCTACAGAGCAAGTGTACTATGGTGAAGTAGGTGGTGAGTAAGTTGGGTAGGATGCCTTCACTTTGATATTCCGCCGACAACCCGGGAATTTTCATGCACATAACACCAGAGAAGGTGGGCCGCTCACGATGGTGAGCGGACGAGTTGGGACTGGGCCGCATTGCTGCTTACCCAGTGGCGGATGCCCACAATACCAAGACATGGACGGTGTGTAGTCGCATCTACCCACTATGGTTCACTCGGATCTGCTGTCTTGTCATACATATTGAGACCGCCGCGTACCCGGTGCTTATGATCCAAAGCCTGCCTGCTTGCTCAACTCACCGACCGTTCCGGCTCCCTCTCTCATCGTTCCATTCCTCCTCCCTCTTCCTGTTCACCCCCCCGTCTCTTCCATTGGTAGTTTCGTGTCACACAGTCGTCGGCATTGCCCAGCATGGAAGGACTGCCACCCGGGACGGATCCGTCGCAGATCCCCTTTGCGCCGAACCCAAGCGGAGCACCCCCGAACTTTGAGGGCGGGGAGTCACTTACACCCACCGTTCTCGGTACCGGCGTGACCTTCATCATCATTGCAGGGCTTTTCGTCGTGAGCCGGGTCATCACTGGACTGAAGAAGTCACGGAAGCTATTCGCAGACGACTGTAGGTACTTATCTGTGGTCTGCCATGAACGATGCTGATATTTTACTTCCACCTCAGGGCTTTGCATGATAGGTCTGATCGTCGGGATCGCACAATGGTCTTGCCTATACACCAGCATGAGCAAGGGCTTGGGGAAGCACTCCTGGGATGTCCCCATCACGGCCCTCACCGTCGAGGTGATGCAGGTGAGCTCCTCTCAGAACTGTCTCTTCCAACACCGAATCGTGCTAACATGGGATGCACCATAGATTCGCCTAGCTGACCAGTTGCTCGGCTCCATCACCCACTTCGCAGTGAAGGCCTCCCTCGTCTTCTTCTTTTTGCGTCTCTTCGGCACCCTGACCTGGGTCCGAGTGACCTGCTACGGACTCCTGACCTTGACGTTCCTAGCCTATGGCTCGTACGAGGTCGTCGTGCTTGCCTTTTGCATCCCCCGGCCAGGCGAGGAATGGGGCAACGTCGTCCTCGCGAGGTGTGCCACCACTGCCCCTGCCACCATCGCCGTCAATGTCTGCGCCGTGGTGGCCGATCTGGCCCTTTTCATCATGCCCTTCCCCATCATCGCCGGGTTGACGTTGAGTCGGCCCAAGAAGAAGGGTTTGCTGGTTGTGTTTTTGGTTGGGTTCCTGTAAGTGGGCACTTGGTACCTCGGACTTGGAGGGCGCATGTATATTTACTGAATTGGACAACACACAGCGTCGTGGTCACCAGCGTCGTCGGTCTGGTCTACAGAGTCAGGGTATCCTACTACACCATCGATCCCATCTGGGACGGCGGCAATGTAGCCATCACAGCGCATGTCTTTCCCCCCACCCGTGCCTCCCAACAAACAGAAATCACTAACATCAACAAACAGCTACATGGAAGTCTTTGGCACCGTCATCGTGGCCTGCACACCCGCCCTCCCGGGTCTCTGGAGCAACGTCCTCAGCGAATCAGCCTTCTTTTCATCCCTCCGCTCCCGCATTCTGGGGTCTCGCTCCCGCAGGACGGGCGATAGCAATGTCAGTGGCAGCATGCCCACCGCGAGAACGTACCCGCCGCCGACGTTCCAGAACGAGTCAATCTCCAAGACGTCGTTCAGGACTGGGTCGCAGAGGGAGCTTGTGGGGGAGGAGGACGGGATGGATGAGTATCCGTTGAAGACGATCCAGAAGACGATGGGCGTTAATGTGAGTAGGGCTGAGAAACAATGATGGCCAGACTGGGGGAGATGGTGATGCAAGGAGGAAGAAGAGTAATGGCGGGTGGGAGGAGTTGGGGGAGGGGAACCGTGAGAGTACTGTTAAGAGGGGGAATGCGAGGTGGTGAGCGGTCTGAGTCCGGGTTGGTTTAAATTTTGAATAGTATAGGGTACCTACTGGAGGGTATCATAGAGACGGTGATCCGATGCCCGTGTTGAAGATGCCTGTGCAGTTACCTACCCATACAATGCAGAGAGTATGAAAGGCCTCGGTGTATGTAATCTTTGCCGATTCTTAGGGGGTGGCCGGCAAGACCACGACCTCACCGAATGAGAGATGACATGAGTAAAGAGTGGATGGTATACAACAGTGTCTCATCATTTGACCTCAAGCAGACGCCCTTAACCAAACACAACAGCTTCCAGAGCTACCCAAGAGATAAAGGAGGCACCCATGTAAGTCTGTTTCTTTGTCATATCCGGGCTATGAAACTACTTTGAAGTCCACACACCCTTTCCAGTTAAAACATTGAACCCTTCACCTCTTTCCATTCACACACCCCCTCCTCCACAGACCCGCCCAAAACACACCCACCACCCTGCTTAAGAAAGAGTAAAAGAAGAAGGCCCGCTGTAGGAACTAGCAGTCCACTGCGACCCAGGGCTGAAATAATCCAAGTTGACAGCCGAACCAACAACATGAGCGTCGCTCAACACAAAGCGGTAGTCGCTGAGCGCCTTGTTGATGCGGAAGAAGACAGCGGGGTCGCTGCTGGTGAAGAAGCCGGTGTTGGTCGGGATGGTGGAGCCGGTGGTGGTGTGGGTGAAGGTGACGGCCACGTTCTCGGGGAGGATCACCGCGCGGGCGGTGTAGCTGGGAATCAATCTGTCAGTAAAGGTCCGGGTCGAGAGGAGTTTGACTTACGAGCAGGAGGAGGAACCGCAGGTGACGGAAAAGTTGGTGACTTGAGCACTGGTCGCGCCGTGGGCCTGCTTGGCGACTACCTCGGCGGGAGCGGCGGAGGCGAGGCCGAGGAGGCTGAGGGCGGCGGCGGTGATGGTGAACTTCATTTTGGTGGTGGTGAAGAAAGAACTGAGGTGTTCAGAACTTTTTGTTGAGATTGAGTAACGATATGAAGGTGAGGTGTGGTGGTGGTGGTGGTGGTGGTGGTGAAGAAGATTCAGGCTGAAATGTTGGAGGATACCTCGTGGCTTTTATAGACGAGCTTTCGCCACTTCCAACCTCCGTTGACCCTTTTTGATCATGGGAGCATTTCTGTTGAGCAGCTCTGTCGCCGTCGGGCTTGGCGTGATGATGTCCTGTGAGCCTGTGACGGATTGATAAAAGGGAGGTTTGTTTGGGTAGGAGCTCGACTAATGCTTGTGAGAAGGAGCTAGGTAAGGTATGTGCATGCGGAAATGAGGCTATTCCAGGATCGGTGAACGGTGAGTAGGGGTTTGTCGTGGCGAACCAGGTCTCGCCCACGCATAAAGGTAGGAAAGAAGTCTGCAACCTGCAGGTAGGAGAAACATCGCACTGACCAAACCCAAGCTGGAGGAATGTTTGGTAGGGCGTTGTTGTCCAAACCCCCACTAGACCATGTTGCTCATAAGTGGGGGGTTTTCATCCGATTGGTACACTTATACGACTGTGCTGTCACGTATATCAGCGCTGGACTATTTGGGAGCCGACGGTTGACAGAGCCTCAACAGGCCCCCATTCATCAGCTCAGCGAGTCTCAATTATTTGGCGTACGACTTTGTCTTCTGTCGCCCCAGATTGCCTTTTGTTTCATTTTTTGCAGCAGTTAATCCTCGACTGTGATGAAAGACCCTACAAGGTAGGTATCAGACACAACGGGCATAGTTTTCGTGCCGCGCCGTCCCTACTAGTATGAGTGGCGGTCCCCTGCATGTCTTCTAGGGCAAGTACCTTAGTCTGACAGCAAGGTAACGTGCGGGGTTCACTGTTTCGAGCCATGCATATTGGCATCGTTATACACCCCCGGCAATAGAAGCTTTCCCCGGTTCTCGGAGCAAGCATGTGGGGGTTGAGTGACCGGGGCCCGGTTCACCGAGTGTCTACAAAGCTTGGTACCATGAGGATGGATAAGGCATTTATGCTAGCATCCCAGAGTTCAGAAGCGTTTGAGCACCACGTTGCCAAGTTTACGTAGCTGCCGGCTCAACACGTTTGCTGGTAGATGGGCTTCTGCTGCAGCGGAAGTTCTCCAGAGAAAGAGAACTCTCATAAGAACGAGAGGAAAGTCGACCAAAGTTTGGCACGCTCTCCGCACCTTACCATGGGGGCATGGTGCACCCGTAGCACAGGCAGCAACATCACACCGAATGAACAACCTAGACACCACAGGAGTCAGCCCTAGGGATGAATAGGCATGCTTCCCCGCATTTAACCGGATGACAACTTGGCAGGGATCGGAGACCACAGGTTGATCTTAGTCAAAGTTACTCATAAAGACAATGCTCAGTCTTGTGAGGTACGTCCAGTCACCTGTTTTCGTCTTCATGGGACTTTTCTTAGCGCTGCATTTGCATTGCAAGACGATAGCGTAATGCAGCATGCCAAAATAGGACTTGCGAAAACGAGTCGGACTTTATTCTCGGACTATGAACCCTTGTCTCTATCCTGGGGAACGATTGTGAGTGAATACACCAAATTCCAAGAGGAGACTGCGTCTCTGGTTGTTTCGTTCTAGATGAGGCTAGAGTGTGACTCAAGACACCAATTTGGGCCAGTGTTGATGTTCACCATGCAATGAAACCAGAAAATAAGCCTTCAGTGTATGACACATGGCTGAGAATATTTCTGCTCTGAATCAGGTGACCCGAAACCCGCAAGGCTTTCGCCATCAAGAATAGTCCCGGACACTCTAGGGCTGTCATGTTCTTTGTCGTCCTCTTGCGGGAGTAGAGGCGTTGAAACTCAGCAGAGCAAGGTTGATGCTCTCATCTCAACATGCCAATGTGCTAACCATTTGTCGGAGTAGCTCTGAACCACGTCCAGGCGGAAGGTCCACGCGAGTCTCATGCTTGTGGGGATATTTTGCCTCAGAACATGGCATCTGGAGAGATGCTTTTGGACATACGTAGCTCTGCTCATCTTGTTTAGGACCAGCAAGTATCGATAGCTCATCAATCAGCTTTGGCTGTAAGCTTAAGTTCTAAAATCCAGGCAGTTAGTTAATGCAAAGTAGTAATTGAAGAGAATGGACAAAGCACATATATCACACAAGAAGGAAACCTGAAGTACGGTAGGTAAAATACCTATTCAGATCATCCATTGTGACACACACATCATCGTATGATAAGAGCATTCAATTTTCCCGTCATGGCTAGCGCTATTATGGATGGATAATATGCGGCTTACGGTACTGCCTCCAGGTTGCATCTGCCACCCCAACTGGCCAGAACCTACCTACTCTGTCCGATCTTATTCTTGTGATTCAGCTCAGGCTGCCCCGCATCAACATGCTCTCTCCTTCCAGGCTCCACCCACAGTTCGGAGAATCATTGTTGACCATGTCGGCTCCAAATCCCGATATTTTCACTCCCAAGCCACCACGCAGAAGAGGGACAGTGCCGGTGCGCCTGCCGTCCTTCAGCCCCAATGACTTATCGGCATCTCGTGGCCCCGACCCCTCTTCTACCTTTCGCCCGCCCCATGTTGAACCTCAGGCTGCACAGCAACAGTACATCCCGGTCCCACAAAGCGCCCCTATCCCTCCCTTCCCCCCTCCCTTTCCACACTATTTTCTCCCAAACTCCCAGACGCCTGTCTATCAATATGTGGCACCTCAAGGGTACCCAGTAGCGGTTCCTGGCAAGTCATTGAGCGAACTACGTGCGCGTATCGGACGAGAGAGAAGGAGCAGGAACCCCGAGCGCCACAGCATCAGAGAAGAATCACTAGACGTAGAAAGTCGGGCGAGATCAAGGTCGTCGTCATCATCGGATTCAGGCCGGGACAGCCCGCCTACGAGACACCATTCCGACATTCGTCCCGATATAGTGCTTCCGATAGCGACGAGGACTTTGGATCATCCACCCTGTATTCCTTCACACCTTCTCGCATCTCCCGCGGCGTGTCAGCAAAGGGCCCCGGGGCCGTTTCAGGAGATGATGAAGATGAAGACGTCGCACCCCAGGAAAAGTCCCACGACCTTATAGGGGCACCTTCCGTGTCCCATGTCTTCGAGTCTCAGTACATCGGTGACGGAGTTCGGGAAGGGCATCATGCCGCGAGACTGTCAGTTGTGGATGACAAGAATATGAAATATCATCCTCTTTTTCGGTGGTTGTGAGAAGGCCCTTGATCTTTATCTATATACAAATCTTGAATTACCAGTTGGACCTCGATTTGGCTGACCCTGAGAAAAGTCACATAACGCCCCGTGGATCACGGCCTATGTTGGACTTTGAGCATTTTTCCGCAAATTCATCTGCCCTTGAAAGTACCAGAGACTCTACTGACATTGTTGTAAACAGAGAGAAGTCTTTCGAATCGAGAGCCTCTCGACTGGAGAGAAGATGGCAGCGGCAAAGATGTTCTCGAAGCTAGGGGAACGACAACTTTCGGTCGATGCATTTCTCGGACGGCCGAGATGTACACCGAATGAAGCCATCCTATCTCCGTGGAGAGATCCCAGCAGACAGCCAGTACAAGGGCACACAAGCTCGAACTTTGCACTGGATCGCACTTCCGTATTTCAGCGTTGAACCGTACTCAGGCTTCGAAGCCGGTGCCGGAAGTGCCTCCGCCGTCCCAGCCCCCACCCTGCTACAAAGCCAGTTCTCCCACGTCGCCAAAAGTCGAGATCTAAGACAGGCCGTTTTCGGGATTGGAAATAATCTACAGCAGGAGGTTTGCCTTCACGTCCCACAACTTTGGTGTCTGATATTTGACAATGGTAGGTTTCAGACTGTTACCTCAGTTACATCTGCATACACAGATTTGAAGCTGACGGATTGGATTGCTATCAGCGCTCATCGTCACATATATCAACCTGCCGGACAAATATTTCCCTGGTGACTATGTCATCAACACAACGGGTCATTGGACGTTCTCGCGGGGGTTTCACGAACCAAGAAGATTATGGTCTGTTTTGGAACTTGTGTCATGTGGTCGATACCGCTACATGAATGCCAGACATGGTTTGTGAGTGCTTGTAGTATCATAAGGGTCTGTCTGAGACATGGGCCAGCTAGCTGACATGATTGGGAATGCCACAGGCTTTGACATCTTGTTTCAGCAAGTTCTGGCCTCAGAAGTTCGAGCTCCTTCACAACAAACGGAAGATCACGGCAAAAGACTGGCCGGCAATTTGGGACCGCGCTCGACATGTCAAAAATCATGTTAAGCTGGAACTCTACTTGGGGTACGTATTAGGGACCTGGATCTACCGTTCTATATTCAGGTCTCGAGTGACTGACTTGCTGAGTGCACGACTTATGGCGCCACAGCGCGGAAGACTACTCCCTGACATTGCGAGCAAAGGGAAAGGGAATATGCAGAGCTCAACAAGTACCGCGCATGAAGACACTTCAACGAAACCCGGTACTGCAGGAGATGGCGGCTCATCCTCTGCAACTGTCGAGACCACAGACGGAAGATTCACCAACGCTAACGGGTTTGCTATCTTTACTTGTATGACTGGCGTATCGACCCCAAACTCCGATGACAGCGTTGAAGATGCATTACTCGAGCAGCTTGTGGAAATCCGTGATTGGCTGCTCTACATGCCGAGCTTCGGTGACGCGAAAGCCTACAAGTCGTGTACTAAAGATACGCGTGCTTCTGTGCGTCGCTACCTGGAGAAACGGGCGGCGGAGCTGAGTTCTGTCGAGTCGCAAGGTCGAAAAGACCAGCGTGCCCAGCGGGACTTTGAGGACAGGATCGACATCTTCAATGCTGCCGAAACAATCTTTGCCTTCTTCCTCTCCCTAGACTTTGATGGGCCGACCGTGAGGAGATATTGGGGGGCTGTCAGGACCATCATCGGAGTAAGACCTGACAAAATGTCTTTGATCCCAGAACGATGGACCTGTTACTAACATTTTTTGTGACACTAGGAGAAACGCGAGGGTCAACATCGGTACCAAGCTTCCATGTATACCATGAGACATCAGCTGAGAATGCAAGCCTTGGACTTGAGTCAGCTCAGCGAGATTCTCTCTGCCGCCCATGGCGCCGATTGTGCTCAGATCACCGTGCCGACCCAGATTATCGACGCCTGGATCCATCTACTTCTGGGCCTGGCCAGCTTCCCAAGAGACAGTGACCGTTCCGAGCGGCTGATTGGCGATGCGAGGCGAGCTGCAACAGAGGGCGCCAACATAATCATCACCTCACTCTCCCCCAAGTCTCTCGTTGAGAATTCCGTCATCCTGCCCCTGGAGATATTCTCCTTGATTAGCTTGAAGCTCATACAAAGCGCCCCCAATGTACCTGATTCACCCTCGAACAAGGAAAAAGCGAACACATACAGCGACGTTGCTCAGATCTACCGCAACCGTCTCGACAAAATTGTAAGTGAGCATAGAGGTTGGGGTGGAAAGTGTGCCCCGTTGGGTATCATCCAGAGACGCTAACTGCCCCCCAGGAGACGGACATATCGAAGAGACCAAGTGACAGGGCCAATGAAGAGAACCTCAAACTCGTCGGTGAGGAAATCCAAGTCATATTGCAGACACTCCTCCAGCAATATGTCATCTTTTCTCTGCTCTTGGAGAATGCGAATCATGCGATCGACAATACTACCACTTTTAAAGAAAAACCGATTGTCCAGGCTGCCGGTCACTCCAGGTCTATGCTGGTGTTCATCCAGTTGTGGAGCCGCGACCGTGAGCCTGGTTATCGAGATCATCAACACCGAGAGACAGAGGTTCGGGCTTGGGAGTATGGTCGGGAGCATTCAAAGTTCGACATGTACGACAACCCTTTCGCATTTGACCTGGCCAGCGAGGATAGCCTGTTCAAAGTCAAACCGACCGATCCCGGCGGATATCGAAAGCTTCTTCTTCTCGAATGCCACTCCAAGACTGACCTTTTGAAGCAAGAGTTCCATCAGCTGGGAGCCAGGTGGGCGAACCTGAGGGCGATGGCAAGTTTGTTCCACTCTCCTGAACACTTACTCTCAACTAACAACAACATCAGAGCCAATATGGCGCAGACACGACAAAATTCCGACAAGACAAAGCCATCTACGCCTTCACTATTGTCACCGTCATCTTTCTCCCCCTAAGCGCCATATCCAGCATCTTTGGCATGAACACGGCCGATATCAGGGACATGGAGGATAGCCAGAGGATCTATTGGGCCACGGCCATCCCGGTGACGCTCGCTGTGATATTGTTCGGTCTTTACTGGATGGGTGAGCTGGGAAATACCTTCAAGTGGGTGTTTTGGAGTTTGGGATCTTGGATATTCCGTAAAGTGGCGGGAGACCGCGAAAAGGGACGAAAGATAGTGGACAGGTGGTTTGGACAGACGGACCCGGTTCCGCTGGGTCTGCCAAGTCATATGCAGCCGGCGTATCCTATCGGTCCGGAACGCAGGCCGACGTATAATCCAGAGAGACCCGCGAGATCGGTTTCTAGTGACGAATCTGTTGATATACGTTATCGCAGCAGGTTTGTGTAGGGCCTAGATAGCTAAGCGTCAGAACAGTATCGTCTCATGAAAGATTATCGAGTTCATTACCACAGCACCACGGGTTCCTTTAACACAGCCAGTGAGTGGTAATACTTAGACGACGGCTCAATCGTCAATATGGTCTGAAAAGGCCTTTCAAGACAGACTATCAACACATCCAATTGTCCATCCCAACTCTCCGTCTCTGATCCTGTCTCAATACATCGACAGCGAGTTCACATATAACAAACCTGCATACAACAATATTCACTTACTCCCGGGGAAGAAACTAGGATAAAAAGGAAAATTCGGAGCAAAAAGAAAAGACGTCCCAGTATTATATTTGTCTTCCCAAGTAGGAGGCTCCAACTCAGGCGTTGACAGAGATAGATGTCTGCCTGTGTCGAGAGAGAGACAGAGAGAGAGAGAGCCCGTAATCACATGCCAACAAATGAAAGCTGACAAAAAGAACCCATCCCTCCCTCTCCACTCACATCATCAAGGGAATTTCCACTTTGTGGAAAGGAGGAGGTGAGAAGCTTTCCGGGGGGCGCAACAGTCACAGTTAGAGACGGAAAGTGGGGAGGAGAGTGGGTTAAAAAGTGTCAAAAACAATGGACAATATGGGAATTGAACCCATGACCTTTCACATTGGCAATTGAATGCGAAGCGAAAATCATACCCCTAGACCAATTGCCCCTTAGAAGTTGTTAAAAGAATGGTCGCAAGCTAGCTTCTTAATTGGCAAGACGCAATGCGAGTGGTGTTTCCGTGCCAAGGAAGTGGGGAAGCGATGAGGACCATGTCACTGCGGGAGACACAGCGAGGTTGTGCAACTTATCAGTCCGTAAGACATTGCTAATAATTTTACGTTTTTATCCAGATATCTTCAGCACCATCCCCAAGACCTATTGCATATCGGTGACTCCCGCCGGATTGTTTGACCGCCCACATGCCGCCCCTCCCGCCACACAAGGTCAGTTTAAGATTTCAGGGCCATCTCTCAACCCTAACCCAATTTGATCCCCCTTTGCCCCGTGACATTCCGCCATACACGCCATCGTGACCACGCAATCCTCGCTACATCCGTAATTGCACGCAGGGAAGGCAGCTTCTATTTTCCACCGGGCAATCGAAAATGGCGTGAGCTAGAAGAGATCAGCGTCTGCTTTACTTTTATCGGCAAGACCCTGGATCTTCCACCGCATTCGTCTCTTTTAGGTTTTTCCACATTCTAAGACTAACAGGGGACCTCTCGCTAGTGAATGGGGGTGAAGCTAAAGCCCACATGCAGGTGGGACTGGGTGATTTCTTTTCCTCGCTGGGTACGGAGTTTGGTCCGATCCACTCGGGGACCTGGTCGAGATCCATCAGCGAGATAAGATGGAACTGCCATGTGTGGTGCCATGTGTGTGCCATGTGGGAAGTGGCTACCTGCTTTTGGAGATGAGATCGTGGCATGTGGGGAGCGAAATGGCGACGAGAAAAAGCTTGACTTGATGCTGATCGATCGATTGCGGATGGGGATTCTTGAAGACGAAGGCGGGATGAGTGGGTGGATTGAAGAAATTGAATCACAGCACGATGAAAAGCAAACATAAACTGTTCATTGAGCGAACGACCACAGGTTGAATGATGAATCGAAATGGAATTGACGGCCGTTATTCTGATCAAATGGAACGCTAACGAGGACGGTCGTTACATGACATTACTATATACTAAACACAAAATTGATGATATATATTACTTCATTAGGTTATCCTCCTCTGTTATCCCTCTGCAGCATCCTAAGCAGCAGGACCGTAGAAGTTGAAACGACGTCTAGAGTCGTACTTGTCCTTCAACTGCAAAAGCTTGGCGCTTCTCCAGCTCTCGTGGCCGTACATCTCCTCCTTGGTCTCATCACCATAGGCATAGTTGAGGTAAATGTGCTTCTGGCTGCGGCCGCTGCCAGCGTGCAGGATGTTGCGAAGCTGGTTGCCAAAGGCCTGGGCCTGGGCATCAAGAGCGGCATTGCCAGGAGTGTACTGCACAAGAGGAGCAGTGAGGAGGTTGTCCTCGCGGAAAGCATAGGCGGTGGAGGCGGCATCGACAGCCTTGACACCCTGCATGGAGTAACCCTCGAACATGAAGAGGGAGTTGGCGAAGGGGGACGAGGAGTTGGTGCCCTCCTTGAAGGCCTCGTAGACCTCGGCCATGGCGGAGGGGTTGTACTCGGGGAGGTACAGAGGGAAGCGGGGGTTGGCAGCACCGGTCTTCTGGCACGGGGGTCCATCGAGGGAGATGCCGACCCAGCTGGAGACATCCTTGTAGGTACCAGTGTTGTTGGTGACAGAGATGGGACCGAGAGCAATGAAGGGGGCGGTGTAGGCAGTGTCGACAGCAGTGACACCCTCCTGGATGATGTAAAACTCAACAACGGGGCCGGTGGGGTCAATGGGGGGAATGTTCATCCAGTACGACCAGTTGATGATGTCAACAGGCTGGGTGCCGTTCTGGAGGAGGTAGTCGTTGGCGGCCTGGTAGAGAGCCTCGACCTTGTCACCAGTGTACATCAAGGTGGTGATGGCCCAGTTGGTGTGGACAATGGGGAAGATCTTGATGGTGACAGAAGTGACGATACCAAAGTTGTGGCCAGCGCCCTTGAGGGCCCACCACAGGTCAGAGTTGGAGTTGATGGTGCGGAGCTGGCCATCGGCAGTGACGATCTTGGCCGAGACAAACTGATCAGCAATGAGGCCGTGGTGGCCTTGCAGCCATCCGTGGCCGCCGCCGAGAGCGGGACCCATGTAGCTGACGCACTCGCAGGTACCGGTCACGGCCTGCTTGCCGGCAGCCCAAAGGTGGTCGATGAGGACCTTGGAGTTGGTGCCACCGAGGACAGTAGCAGTCTGCCCATTACCCGAGATGCTGACACCTGACAACTTCTTCAGGTCGATGGAAATACCCCAGTTCATCTGGCCCAAGGTGGTGATGGCACCATGGCGGCCGTTGTAGGCCAAGAAGGGAACATTGCAGTTGTTGGCAATGCGCACCTGGCGATCAAGTTAGCATTTGTGGGAGAATATTGCTTGCGGCAAGGAAGACCTACAAGCTTCATCACATCCTGCTCAGTCTCGGGGGCGACGCTAATGTCAACGTAGGGAACACCCCCGCCCACGTTGGACCATCTCTCGGTGGCGGCGTCAAATTCGGTGGTGTTGGGATAACGAATCTCGGTTCCGGGGGACAGTTGACGGGCAAGACGCCAAAAGTCAGCAATGTTGCATCCCGGAGCGCGGGACAAGGTGTCGACGGCGTACTCGATGGGAGTAGGCGCGAAGTCTGGGTCCTCCTGCTCCGGGAGCTGGGCAGAAGCCACGGACCACGAGGCCGCGGCGACAAGAGTGCTCTTGAGCCAGCGCATTGTGATTTGATGCGACGGATGGGGTGGCCGAGGACTGGACGGGACTGGAGAGAGGAGAACCGAGAGTGTTGCCCTGCAAAAAGCAACGCCGAAAAAGCCTCCACGAGAACGTGCGGTGCCGCGGTGTTATATGTGTGGGCGGGCGGTCCAAGCCGTCGGGTCCAATCGCTGTTTGTTTATTGGACCCAAGCCCCCGGAACCAAATAGCCTGTTGCATTGATGCGCGCCACTCCTTCTCGGCCGCGAGGCCTTACCCCTTCCATCTCTGCCGGCAGAAGGACTATTGTCAAAGTCGCATCATCTTGGCGACAGGCACCCCATTCCCAGTTTCCCACCAAGCCATTGCCAAATGTTTGGCAAAAACCCGAGTGTTTCTGTTAGCTGGCGTTAGTTCTGCTGGGACGGGAATAGGCGGCCGGACGGGGGTGCTGTAAGAGGGAGACTGGTCTTTGATTTCATTTGAAGAGCGGTGGAGTCTGGGGTCTGGTCCAAATTACTAAACACCAACCCCATCCACTAGCCGAGCCGGGGGTTGTTCCGAGGGTCGGTCTAGTGTCCCATTCTAGTCCATGCCGTCCGCATAGAAGCTCCACCTCCTCCTCCACCTCGTCGTACAACAGAACGCCGACCACGGTGTTTCTCGTGGATAATCCGGTAATGAGTGCGGGGCAATCGATAACGGTTGGATTCCATCGACCGATGCTGACTTTGACATCCCTCAACGGCTATCGCACGGATAGTGAGAGCCGGTCAAGTCGAGATATTCCCAAGTGCCTCGCTGAAGTTGTTAGGTGGAGAGGCAAGGGTAAGGGTATGTACATACTGTAAATGCCGCCTGAACTCTCGGAGCAACCTGACACTTCAGCTTCACTAGTGATGGAACTCAACACTTCGTAAGTCGCCCCTGAAAATGCAACAGTGGACATCGGCGTGGGGGCTTGGGTCTTCCAAGACTGCTAACCCATGCAGCTAAACAATTCCAGCTTTGCCGACGACAAGTTCTGACCGACCCAACTGCCGCCATTGGTCCCAAGAGAGTTGCGAGATTGCATCCCAGAGGGGTGCTTATCGGCCAGACTGACCCGAGGGTGTTCCAGGAAAGTTCCGTCTGCCAATGTGCATGAAAAACATATCTTTTCACCAAGTAAAAAAGCAAACAAGAGTCATGCACGTCACCCCTTAGACCCCCTACACCTTTTGTCGTGGCACAAAGCCTCGTCTCCGATGGGTTCCTCAGCTGCCGAAAGGGTGACCTTGTTGATCCCTTCCATGTGCAGATAGCTAGTCAATGTTTCCCCCGATGTACAAATCCGTGATGGGTCCCATGTCTTCCTGAACTGTGATCTTCTTGTCTTTTCGCCTTTTTCGTTTTTTACCTTCGGGTCTCAACATCCGGGCTTTTGCGATTCCCCAGATTCCACAGATAGCTGAATCGCCGGCCCCTGATATCGAGACCCGATGGCAGACGCAGGCCCACCATCTCCCGAGGCCATCGCGGCGGCGGTGGCCGCTGCGCGGACATTCAACATCACTCTCTGGACGCTGTATGCGATAGGCGTATGCACCACGGCTCTGCGTACGTACTCTCGCTTTGACCAGGTTGGCTTCTCCAACTTTGAAACAGACGACTACCTCGTGTGGGTGGCAGTTGTAGGTCACCTCCCAACATGAACCCAACATCAGCTACGTCTCGATACTGATCATCGCTGCCCAACACCAGCTTCTCTACACCCTCCAAGCATGTCTGGGCTACCAAATCGGCAACCTTGCCCAAGGCCTGGCAAACAACGGCATGACGGATGAGCAGCGGATGTCGCTGCTTCCCAGTGACCCAGAATGGGACAGGAGAGTCATCGGTTCCAAGATCCAGGTGATGGGATGGACCTCCTACTCGACCCTGATGCTGGTCCTCAAGCTGGCCATGTTGTTCTTCTACCTGCGGTTGACGGTATGCCTCCCTTCTTCACCCAGGTTGCTCGCCTGGGTACGAACGACGATTGCTGACTCTGTCTAGAACGGCCTCGGTCGTCGTTACCGCATGCGAGTCCACGCTGGGTTCGTGATCATCATCGCCGGCTGGCTCGCCTCCGTCCTGGCCGTCTTCGTCGGCTGCATGCCCTTCCACAAATACTGGCAGATCAACCCCAACCCAGGCAACAGTTGCCAGCCCGCCATCGCCGGTCCCATCGTCTGGGCTTCCTTCGCCGCGAACGTCACATCCGACATCTACCTTATTGTCATTCCCCTTCCTCTTCTCTGGGGTTCCCGCCTGCGTCTCGTCGAGAAGATCGGTTCCACCCTCGTTCTGAGCGCCGGCATCTTTGTCCTCGTTTGCGCCACTTTGAAGACCATCTTTGTCATCACTGTGAGTCCCCCAATATGTCATGTGTAGTCCCCACCACTAACCCGCCCCCAGGACGACGTCAACGGCGCCGAGCTCGCCGGCGCATGGGGTACCCGCGAAGCCTTCGTCGCCGTCGTAACCACCAACCTCCCCATGGTCTTCCCCCTCTTCAAATCCTGGCTCAGACCCCTCTTCGGCTCTACCTCGCAGCGCACCACCGACAACAAGTACAAGACCCCGGAGGGCTTCCGCTCCATCGGCGGCGGCGGCGGCGGCGGCTCCAATTCGCACTCCCAGTTCAGGAGGGGCAACGGAAACAACTCGAATATTTTGACCAATGTCACCTTTACCGAGAGCGAGGAGAGGATCGTGAATGAGATCAAGATGCAGAACATGAAGACTGATGTTTCGGGGGGCGCGAGGAGTATGCATACCAAGGAGACGGACCACAAGGGGATTGTGGTGTTGACCGAGTTTGATGTGAGTGAGGATGCGAGGAGTGTGCAGCATAGTGAGGCGGCGGCGCCGGCGAAGCCGAAGGAGACTTGGTGATGAAGGGGTGCATCATGGTACCCTGATCTACCTTATGCTTGATGGGCTTGAGGGGGAAACATGGTTTGAGGAGGGGAGGGGGGATGATGGTTTTCTTTTGTCGGTTTTCTTTGTCTTTTCTCCTTCCTGCCCTTTTCTCTTCACTTCGTTAAACATATTTTCCCCTGAACACACTTTGGAGACGGAGGAGGACGGGATACGTATACGGCGGGTGGTGGTTTGGATGGCTTGCGGATTTTTCTCAATTTGGATGGATATACCCCCTTGATGGTGTTGTGGTGTTGTGGAAAGATTATCACGACCATCATGTACCTCTTTTTTTTGAGGATGTGAACTTTTTATCTTGTTTCGATATCCTCCAATTACCTATATGTAGTTGTCCGTAAAATGTTATGTCTTTGTAGTCGACATGTAGTTGCCGTTTGTGGTAGCTCGTAATCTTCAGGGGTCAGGCGGGTGGTTGCATGGAACTTGTGTAAACACCATGCTGGGAGAAACGGATTTCGGCATTGACGATGGTGGTGTTTTCTTGGTTGGGCTGCCATGCCAAGCTGCTGCGGACCTGCTGCGAGGCTTGGGTCACCTGCTGATTGGCAAGTCATACGATAGCGCTGTGCAGTGTTGAGGCGCAGTCTGTCACCAGAACGTGAGGCAGAAAGTAGAAGATGATATCAAAAGCTGTTGATTCCCTCACCTGTCACTGCTGAACGAATGTCTGTCCTGCACACCAAATCTTTCTGACATTAGGCCTCTGTTGGCGCCGCATTACAAGATGCTTTTCTGCAACCTGCGGGCAATCCAGCTGCCTGTAGCCCTACTTGCCCTGGTGCAATCAGGATGCTGCCAGGACACCACCGAGATCCTCGTCGAAAAGCTTCAATGGACTGCTCCACGAAAAGAACTGACCGCACATTTTCTCGAAAACACTAACGGACCATGGGAGCAGCTCTCGACCCTGTTGGGGACTTACGATTTGTCCAACATTACAAAAGACCAGATTATCTTGCCAATGTATCCCTCACCGTGGACCAACATCTCAACAATCTGGTGGACTAGAGTCGTTGACTACCAGAAGATGGAAGAGTTTGCCCGAGAGGCTCGCTGGGTAACAGGTTACTTTGCCTCAAGTTGGGATCCTTCCATCCAAGCGGGTGCCAGGCTGCCGGACTGGGACCTATCTATGCCATATGGCAACGGCAACCTTACAGAATTCCTCCACGTCAAAACCCCTCTTATTGCCCTCAACCACTCCAGGCTGTACCTAGAAGCCGAGATTGCCATCGAGTTTACACACGGAGATATGCTTGCTCTTGCGCCCCCTGGAGATGGAGAACCTGATTCGCGCAGCATTATCCAGCAGGTCAAAGACGCCGGCCGAATCCGCAGCAACTCCTTTGGATTATACGTGGGACGACCGGACTGGAAGTTGCCCGGCAAGATGTTCCTGGGAGGATATGACAGTAACCGGATAAAGGGGGACTTTCTCATGTTCGACACCATGGACCAGCCCGAGTTCGTCCACCAGGGCTATCTTCCGCGATTGTACCTGAGTGACGTAACATTGGGCTCCTTTGAGAAATCTCGAGACGGGTTTGCCTTTGACTGGGCCACCCGCGAGAGCCCCAACCGGACCATCATGGGCGAGATATCCGAGTCCAGTCGAATGACCAATTTGAGTCTCTTGCAACTTCCCCGACCGGCAGCACCCGAGAGGAGGCAATTTTTTGAAGTCGAAGGACACATACCTGGCGCTGCGCTGGTTATGCCGGACCCGACGATACCCCACATGTACCTGCCCCCGAACACCTGTGACAACGCGGCGAAGGATCTTCCGATTCACTGGGATGACAGGCTCAAGCTTTGGCTGTGGGACACGTCCGACCCCGGGTATAAACGCCTCATGAAGGCTCCGGCATATATGGGGTTTACCTTGCAGAACGCGTTCAGTCCCGGATCTGTCAAGGTCAAATCGCTCACGATCCAGGTACCCCTGTGGCTTCTCGACATCGAAATGGACACCCGGATCAATGGCAATGACGCGAAACTTCGGTACTTCCCCTGCAAGTCAGCAGAAGCTAGGGAGGGCTACTATAAGCTAGGCCGCGCCTTTCTTCAGTCTGCCTTTCTCGGCGTCAACTACGACGACAATTTGTTTTACATGGCGCAGACGATTGGTCCCGACGTATTTGACCCCAAGGAGAGGTTAATAAGTTTCCGCCCTGAATTTCAGGAGCATGCCGGGAAGCACGACAGGGACGCGGAGTGGATTCAGTATTGGGCCAGCTACTGGAATCGCGATGACGATGACCGAGGATCTGGGTCGACAGGTTCAGGAGGTCCAACTGGCCCCACAGGAGTGTCGGGCAGCTCCTCGGACAGTGGTAGGAGGGAGATGACTGGGCCCGCCCTTGGGATCGTGGCGGGCTGTCTGGTGGTGATCACGGTGGGGTGCGCGTTTTATGTGCGGCATAAACGGAGAGCGAAGCTCGCGGAGCTGGATCGGGAGCTTATACGATCTGAGAATGGGACAGCTGGTGGCCGAGTTTCACGGCCAGCTGCTGCTACGGCTTCACGGCCAGTTGCTACTACGGCCTCACCGCCAGCGGCGGCTCCGACTTCAAACAGAGTGGCGACACCACCTGTGTACAAGGAAGAGCCAGACGAGGCTCCTCCTCCATATAGGCCATGATCAACAAGATCGAACGGGGTTTCGGTGTTTACTGAGTTGTATATAGAAGATTGTATGTGCTTAGAGATTGCTGAAATGTATATATCATTGCTAAGCAGATATGCAGTTATCGTGTAATTCCCACCAATAACATTAGGCCTCGCCCAGTCTTGTGTATCGCGAAACGCCCGGCAAAGTGCCTTCCTGCGCACCGCCACCTTCAGGCGTAAGTGCGGGATTCGTCAAACTGTTGTCCCGGTTCAAGCAGGAGCCTATCAGTCGAGTGCCTTCCATTACATCTTCTAGCGTCACGCAACCTTTGCTGCCCGGGCAGTCCAGACGGGATGCGTCTCCTCAACATAGAGACGCTCAATCTTGAGACCTTTCACGATAAAATTCCTGTTTACGCTATCATTTCACACAGGTGGAAAGTGACGAGGTGCTGTTCCAGGACATTGAGAATGGGACCGCAGAGAGGAGAGACGGGTTTGCCAAGGTGAAGGGAGCGGTTGGACAAGCTGTCAAGGATGGATTCAAAAACACTGTGAGTACATACCCTCTCAACGACTGTCAATACTGGTCGTTAACATCATGTCATAGTGGATTGACACTTGTTGCATCGACAAATCAAGCTCGGCCGAGCTCTCAGAGGCCCTCAACTCCATGTTTCGGTGGTATCGCGAAGCTCAGGTCTGCTATGCCTACCTGAGCGACGTCAATCACGACGATGACCACCGTGCCAAAGAGAGTGGCTTCGGGCTTTCTCGATGGTTCACCCGTGGTTGGACGCTTCAAGAAATTATCGCTCCTCCAGTCGTATACTTCTTTGCTTCAGACTGGCAAGGGATAGGTTCAAGGCACGGCCTCCTGGAACTTATTGTCGATATTACGCGCATCCACCACATGTTTTTCATCTCCGGAAACCTATCGATATTTCAGCGTTGCTCAGAAGATGTCTTGGGCGGCTGAACGAATCACCACCCGCATCGAAGGCATGGCATATTGTCTTTTGGGTATCTTCGACATCAACATGCCACTCTTATACGGAGAGGGCCACCGGGCCTTTCAGAGACTCCAAGAAGAGATTCTCAAAGATATTGAAGATGATTCCATATTCTACCACGGCGGAATCGAAAGATCCATCCTGGCTTACGAACCCAGGAACTTTCAAAACAGCAGCAACCTGGTTGCTGGCAGCTGGCCGTACAGCTCGCAGAATCTCAAGGGCATCGTGGCCCGAAATATCTCAGTGAACAAAAAGCGAATCGAAATGACCGTTATGGCATTTCGAGACCCTTCAGGTGACTCTAACATACTTACGGTGTTGCTCAACTGTGCAGGCGCAAGTGATGTTGGTAGGGCTAGTTCGTGCTTGGATTTCATGGAGACATCTCCAGGAATCCTCACCAGCTTTTATCAAGAAGGACTTGATCGGTGGGAACAAAGAGTGACAGCCACAATGCAGCTCATGCGTGAGGCTCTTCCCATGGCGATTACCTTGGTACCAAACGGCGTCGGTTTCAGCTCCGAGTCAAATTGGGAAACTGGGCTGGGATTGACGCCGAATTTGTCCCATATGATTACGATCAAGGGCCTGATCCAATCGTCCACCATCTTTATCATAGCTGATGTTAGTGTGCCGCGAGACTTTCTTGGTCGGTGGGATCAGAATGGCGACGAGGCTCGCTGGTAGGGTGGATGACCAGGAAATGGCCCACCCACGGATATGGACCACCACCCCCACACCAGCCACACAACCTTAATGAGATTACCCCTGAATGCTTACACTCCCCACAACAAGACCAATATTGGGTCAATTTCTATGGAATTTATACCAAAATGTAGCTCAATCACTGTCAGAGTCAGACATTTCGTCTGCTTCCCTCTTGCGCCGGGTTTGAACCCGATAACGTGTGCTACGCCGCACAGGCTCGGCTGGCTCCGGCTGCTCCACATCCTCCTTAGGCACCACTTCTTCCTCCACCACCCTCCCTTCAATACAAGCCTCTTCCAGGTCACAAAGCCTTACAAACTTGGAATTCGAATCTTCTCTATTCAACTTGCGCCTTTTCTTTGCGTCCTGGGCTTTGTGGGCGTTTTGTTGGTGCCTTGCCGCATCAGCTTTGTGGATGGATACCTCAGATCTCAGTGTGAGTATAGTACTGGTGAGAGTCCTTGCCGCAAGCCGTTTTCCGGCCGGCGTATGGTTCTTGAGTAGGTCCTTGACCTTCTTGGCCACCTGGGAATCCCCCACGGTATGGAAAGTAGGTGTTTTTGAAGAGAGATCCAACGGCACCACAGGGACTACCACCTGGCTTGAAGAGAGCGGTTTGCGCTTACGTATGGGCCATAATCCTGTCCCACGCCAGCCGCCGGCAATATTCTCTTTCCTGAAGCCCTGCTTGCGGGCAAAGTCATACAGCCGGACCAAGTCGACCTTGCCGTCAGGCGTATAGTTAGTGAGGGCGTCGTTTATAGCTACAAGCCTCTTATACGCCTTCTTTACACTGGAAAAGCAGCCAATATTAAGGGGTTGAAGGACGTGAGAGCAGTGGGGGGGCAGGAAAAGAAGGTAAATATTACTCCTGTAGCACCAGATCATAAAGTCGTTAGTGGTATGTGAGTTATGGCCATCACAAATAAGAAGACGTGGTTCTGATGGGTCCTTTGGTTGAGTCCTTGGGATAAAGACCTCTTCAAGCCATCCAACGGCCAGTTCGTTACTGGTCCAACCGTTCGATAATACGGCTATATACCAGTCCTTATCGAATTGGTCCTTGAACCATTGCTTTTAAAGGTCTTAGCCTTTGAAGATTACCCCGGGGGGGAGGACTCTCCTATCCTGGGAGATACACTCTAGCATAGTAGTCCAGGTCCTTTTTCTATTCTGTTTAACGTATATAGACTTTTTATCCTTCATTGAAGACCCCACAACCAAGCCGTTCTCTCCCTGACCTTCCATTATTCCTACTTCATCATAGTTATACCTATTCTTAGGCTTAATCCAGTCAACGGTAAAATAAAGGTTAAAGAACTTATTGATATTCTCCGGGGTAGCTTCGTTAACTCTAGCGTAATTAATCTTCTTTCCCACCTTCGTTTTAATACTGGGATGACGGCCAATAAAGCGGGTTACCCAGTGCTTCCCAATGGAGTAGATATCGGCTTGTTCAGCCAGCATACTGGCCGCCAGAGCTTTTACGTTGGCGTGGGTGGGAGCGTAGCTAAGGCTTTCCTGACGAAGGATCCATTGAACGATGAGGTCTTCCTGGCCCTGAGTAAGCCGCTGTTGATTTTCATGGGCCTGTTTGCAAACCTGGGTTCCTAAGATGCGGTGCCTCAGTGTAGAACGTGGAACCCCGTGCTTGTCGGACGCTTGGCGCTGGCTTATACCAGCAAGAATGTCTTGTTCGGCATTTGCGAGATCTTCCTCGGTATATTTGGCCATTGATGGGTACCTGGAGCAAAAAGAAGAAAAAGAAATGGTCCATTTTTGACCTCTGGGGGTGGAATATAAAGTTGGGGGGGCTTTCGGAGGTCCAGGGTTGTTGAGGGTTTAATGTGGAAAATGGCACTGGTAAGTTCAAGCCAATGTGGGCCACCTCTGTGGGTGGGCCATTTCCTGGTCATCCAACCTATCTTTCGGTTAGTCCTTGGCTTGACGGCCTAAAGCCCTTTTCATTGCTGTATTCTAATGAGCAAGAGAAATCCTTCATGCTTGTTGTGATCCCAAGTGTGGCTCACATAGAATGTGACAAGGGCTGTAATATCAGGGCTTGGAACTCATGGTTCAATTCAGGCTAATAATCTTCAATGGCCTCGAAGAGCGTGATACTGAAAGTGAAGAAGGAAATACAGTCTTGATCCTGAACGCGTATTTTATCTTCCCTCGCGTGGCCCGTGCCTTTGTTGGCCTCAGGCCATCGCCAAGTCCTCCAATATCCTTCTGGGCCAGTGGGCTTCCTTTGATAATCGCCTTGCCTCTGATTGTCTGCCTTACTCTTGACGAGAGGCTCACAACGTGCAGCTTCCCCTCCTTAAGGTGATATTGGGCGCTATAGTTGGTCATGGTGGTTGGTGGTTGGCATTTGCCGTGTGACATAGAAACACGACTTTACACTGATATCCCCTCATGGAAGGGCAGAGACTAGTTGGAGTTTACAACGGATGTGGAGCGTACGCTCCCAATCAAAACCTGTCCGAGGGGTGATTACCCACGTGGCACATGTATGGCCTGTCCCAGACAAATGCTTGATGACCACTCAGATGTCATGATCGAGCTGTCAAGTAGGAAAAGGGCAGACAGGTGGTGGGTCTTTATTTCTTCCAAACCTACGGACTAGGGGGGTCAAAGGGAATGTTTGGTTCAATACACAGGATAAATAGCTTTGATCGAGGATATAGCTAGAACTACAGATTCTCACGAGGCAAGAACATCCCGCTGTCTTGCTTGCTTTCCAACTGCATCACCCCCAATGCTCCCTGTAACATGACCTTAGGCAGTCCACTCCACCTCAACAGCACGCTTCTCAGCCTCCAATCCAGTCAAAGCAAAATCACCGGCAAGCGAAACCTCGTTGCGAGCCTCCAAGACATCCAAAACGTCGCGCTTGAGGGCTCCGTACTGCCAGTAGCACCAGTTGAGGCAGGCAGTCTGTCCAGCAGGAGATCCGACAGCCAGGGCAAGGGCCCAGCACCCAGCACGGAGCCGAGCATCTCTGAGACCGCGGCAAAAACGGTTGACAGCTTCCTCGCCACCGCGGCAGGCAGCCTGGCACTGGGCCAGCTGGGCTGAGGTGCCGATGGCGAACGCGACGGGGATGGCGATGACGGTGGAGACCTTCATTTTCTGGGGGATAGGAGTCATTATTGAGCCAGAGGAAGAAATATGGGGCGAAGAACTTACCGGTGAGAGGTCTTGAAAGTGTACCTAATCTGAGTTGTACTTGGTTGTGTTGCTTGATTGTAGTCTGAAGCTGATGAAGAACTTCCTCTCTAAATCGATGAGGACATCACAGGGTTTATATACACCATTTCCACCCCTTCACCCCTTCATCCACCTCATCGTCATCAGTCCCGTTCTCGTCCTCGGTCACAGCCCGAGTCAAGATCTCCCAACCCCTCAACTCCCGGCTCAACATCCATCCGCCCCATCCCGCCGTGAAAGCCCAAAGTCATTATGTCACAATCTTTTCTTTTTCCAAACTGTTTTCTCAAAACTCCAGGATATGCCTACATCAACGCGGAAGCTCAGTCGTCTATTGCGGTTGGGTGATTGGTGCCCTCTCTGCCCATTCGCTAAACCTTACCCAGCTCAGGTGCCGCCTAATATCGACGATGATCCGCCCAGCCCCAGGACTGCAGCTGAGTCTGGGGCGAAATGCTCAACGTCGTGGTACCGAAAGAGGGGATCTGCGTCTTTGTGTAATGTTAAAACGGGGAAGGATGTGAGACACAAGTAAGCAATTACTTGATGAGTAGAGATAGATTGGTGATGGCTGGATTGGGTTACCGGTGCGAGAGGTTATGACGATGCAGAGGTGGAAGGGGTAGTGGGTAGCGAGAGATCGAGATCGATAGACCCGGAAGGTGCATGGAGGGCTCTAGACTTATGGTTAATGATGAAGATCGATGTAGAGTTCAATCTGGTACCGTGTTGTCGCCAAGGTCAAAGACGCAGGGCTGGACAGTTAGATCAACATACTCCGGTCCGACGTTTTGGAGAGCACATTTACAGTCCGTTCCCGTCTCTTGTGCATCTGTAACGATACTGGTCCAATGATACAACTTGCCATACATGAGGTGCTACAACATAGGTAGGAAACTAAATGCCAAGTTACAAACACTTCCAGGGCTAAGTTCAACCACCCAACTCCTCTGCACGATTCACCTTGCCGCCCTGCCCTCTTCCCATCCTCATCTCAAGTTGACTCCCCAACAGCAACATTCCAACAAGAGAGATGAACTAAGCAACAATAATCTTATGCTCATCATCATCCTCATCAAAGTCATTGTAATCCCACCCGGTCCCCACCTCACTCGTCAACACAACCAACCCCTCCCTCTTATACCAACAGGTACCCCCCTGAATCACCCTCGTCAACGCCATTCCCAACCCCCAAGCCCCAAGCCCCCCCTCCGGCCTCAGCGTGAAGAGCAGCAAGATGCTAATCTCCCTCAAATCCATCGGCGCATCCAGCATGGCATACCCAACCCTAAGCCCATCCACCTCCACAGGCGTAACATTCCCCCCATCCGCCCTCCCAACCCAGTCATAATCCTCCTCCCCCACCACCGTCCCACACTTTCCCTCGACCACCTCCCCAGCAAGCACCACCCGTCTCTGCACATCCCGTTTTGAAGGCCAAGCCCAGCCAGAACGAACAAACTTGACAAGAGCATGCTGCACATCCCCCCTCGGCCAGAAGGACACCGGACCGTTGGCCCGAGCAGCCCACGACCAAGACGGCGCGCAGTCTGCCTCGTGCCTTGTGGTGGAGAGACTGTCATCCCGAGCGGGGATTTTGTTCCTGTACCAGGCCAGACAGTAGGGAATGTCCTCCTTCCAGAGGCCGGCGAGGTGGTGCCAGCCTGTGTGTCGGGCTATGACGGAGGCGACCCCGATTATGGCGGGGAGCTGGTCTTCTCGGTTGGAGAAGCTGCGGGTGGTGTAGTTGCGCACGGCGGAGTACCAGGCTGAGGCGAATTGTTGATCATACTTTGGGCGGGGCCCAGGAGGGAGGGAGGCGGTGGTGCGGATCCAGGAGTGGAGGTTGGTGGTGGAGGTGGTGACTTCGTGGGTGTCGTTGTGGTCGGAGGTTGATGGGTAAGGCTGGGAGGACACGGAGACGGGGAGGGAGGAGGCGGTTTCTTGGGTGCACCGCCAGGTGGTGTGGGTTGGGCCGAATTCTACTGTGCGGCGGGAGAGGAGTTGTTCTTGGAAGGTCCAGAGGCGGGTGTCGAGGATGGAGGGGGTTGGGTCGAGTTGGCGGGAGATGATCACCGGGTGTGGTTGCCCGTCGATGGTGGTGCGGATAAGGAAGGGTTGGGGTGGGGGTTGCTGATGAGAGAACAAGGAAGAAGTCTTTGCTCGTCCGGTGCCGGCGCCGATCGTGAGGTCGGCGTTTTGGAAGATGTACCCCATGTTGGCGATTTGGGCTTCGAGGTCGAGGGTGTTGTCTTGGATGTTGCACCAAGCATCGACCCAGATGTAGCGGTACCCGAGCCGGCGGGCGATTTGGACGGTGTCCCTGTACACGGCAGGCAGTGTCTCTGAGCCGAGGACGGCTGCCAACCCTTGGGTGTGCTTGCGGCTGTCGATGTTGCTCTGAAGAGTGGGCTTTTGAAGCTTCTTGCCATCTGGAGTGATGTCACCCCATGTGTAGCTCAGAGCAACATACTCTAGCGTCTCTTCAGCGTTGTCTTCAATCTTCTCGTCAATGATGTCAACCAGTCTGAAGGGGGCCTTGAACTTGAACCGGACGTTCTTGGGGTCTTCGATCAAGCGATTGTTGCAATGATCGTGAATCTCCTTGCATGTATTCTGCCAGGTGCTCAAATAGTCGAGCAAAACAGAGGGGTCAGTCTCAGGAGATAGGTACGCCTTGATCAGGTCAGCCAGATTCTCATCCTCCACAGGGACTGTGTGTGAGATTGTTAGCAATCCATCCGAGATACCAAATTTTGTTGAGATCCTGAGCCATGCTTACCATATGACATGAAGGAGAGATAGGCCTCCTTTTCCTCCGACCTGACCTTCACCCGGCCAACAAATCCGAGACCACTATCCCGCTGCCCTGGTGCGACCCACGTCTCAACAAGGATCTTTTCACCCAGCAAGCTCCCATCTACCGGCAAAGCCAAAGCCTCATGAATCAATGAGCACATGTAACAACCAGCTCGAATCGATTCAAGAAGCTCATGAACTGTGCGACTGTCAGGTGGCAAAGCATCGGAAGGACGTGATCCAGTGTGAAATTGGTGACCTTGGCACCGTCTGCATAACGAAGCAAAGGAGGCGGCCTCATTCCCACCGCCACTGGAGAGAATAAAATCCGCCAAAATTTCGCTCATGCGGCTCTCGGGCGCGACCCCGAATCTCTCCACAATGAGCTGAACCAAATCCTGCGGCGAAGGCTCTTCAGGTGCAGGCTTAGCAAAGCTTACCCGTCTTGATTCACGTCCTGGTTCCGCAGGAGGATAAATGGGTTTTACAGAAGGGTCCAGGACCTCCTCGACAGTATCTTTCTTTGAAGGCCTCTTCCCTTGCTCAGTAGACTGGCCCAAGTCTCGAGCAACTCGGGCCATGATGTTCTGCGCAGCAAGGCCAAAAATGTCCCGGGTCACTGGCTGCACGTGGATAATCCCATTGGCGAGTGGTCTTCCAATGGCGCGATCGAGCGCCTTAGCGACCTTGTACATGGCAGGGGCGACGACCTTGTGGAAGAATGATGGGCGAAGGTGTCGTAGAATAGGGAGAGCAGCGTTCTTGTATAGGGGTTTGGCAATCTTCCGGAAAGCCCAAGAGTGTATCTTGTCGATGATAGCGGTGCCCTTGCGGATGACGGGGGAGGACACAACAACGATCGGGAAGGCAATGGCTTGGGCGGCGGAGACGACATGGGTGGGAATTGAGATGACTGAGTAGGTGATGGCGCGTGAGGCCTCGTTCATGCGGCGCACGATCTTCTTGGTGACATGTCGAACAACGGGGGCTGCTACCGTCTCGGCGACAGCAGACACTGCGCTCTTGCATGCTTTCTTGCACTTGCGCAAGACTCTGCTGAAGTAGCCCATTTTGTTGGTAGAGGTGGTGGTTCAGCAGGAGGTTTGTGATTGATGTAAAGTGAGAATGAGTAAGGTAGTATGATGCAAGGTTCTCCCAAAGATTGGTGTTACTAGAAGCAAGTCTAAAAGGTCCTTTTGTCAACTGACAGGTCATTATATCAGGGGTAGATAGCAAAGCAGAGCCTCCAGAACTACACTATTCTTTCAACCCTTGAACGGCCAGGCCGGCGTCCTAGGGCAGCCATTCTCAAGAAATTAGGCATCCAGCATAGAGTAAACGTCAACAACTCTTCGAATCCTCCACTCTACAGATTGGTCACGAGCATGCGAAAAAGAAGAAAAAACAAGGCACAGTCTTCACTGGTCCCAAAGTTTTGGGTTCATAACCTCTGACAGCATTTCTTGCAGCGCCACGGGTATCAAGAGTTTTCCAATCATCGATACCCTACGGTACGCACAGAAGTGCATCTTTGCGAGTGATTTATAGCAAATGACGCTAGCCGTGAGCCAGCCTGTAGAAACACTGTCATATGTGTCGTCCTGTCTTGGCGAGAGTGTGTAACGGTCCCTGCAGCACATGACCTCGTGTTGCATGACCCTTGTCGTAGGGTCTACGGGTTATTCTCATAGGAGCCTGACAGCATGCACATGCAGGCGCTGCGGGATGAAGCGCGCATAGCGCACAAGAACAGCGCTGCCCAACGTTCCAGGTTATCAGGGTAGAGGCATTTTATTCCAGAATCAAGACAACAATGTTGCCGTCGTGGCAGGAGTCTATTGGGACCGTGGCATTGAATAGATATGTGAATGATTATGCATGTCTTGAATGCTTCACCGAGCAGAGCCTCAGCTATGCTAGAACTTGAACATCAACATGGTTTAGGAATTGCACCGCAAACCCTAACGCCAGAGACGCAACAACTGATGAGTTGAGTTAAACCTCTTTTTCCAATACTTTGGTGCTCCAAAGCAAAAGGAAGTCAACCTCGGGATCATGGGTGGGTATAACGCATGCCCGAACCGTATGTTGAAGGCATGTTGCTTGAAGTTACGCTTAACCTGACATGAAAGAGGTGTGTTGCGTAATACCTGGCTTGTTTTGAATGTCAGCTGCTTGAAGTAGGTGAACAAAAGGCAAAAGCATATGGGAAAGGGGCAAAGATAAGGTAGGTTGACTTTGATGCTGCGTCTTATCTCGTGAGAAATAAAGTTTCAAAGTCCAATCCGGACTCCCGGCTTTCTCTGATCAAGACTGAAACAAATTCCATCTCTTAGAGTGAGCGGTAAGGCACCTACCTACCTACCTGCCGCTAGAGAAAAGGGTATGCCGCTGTAAGGGCCATCCAATGCTTTGTTGTTCTAATCACCATGTGAATTATGGCGGTGGTGCGGAATTTATCAACAAGCTCAGTCGACAACTGGAAATCCGGTGGTGGAGAAAAGAGCAATTGTGGCGACGCCTCCACGCCAGGACGTCCGAAAGATTCCAAGGTTCTTTTCGCCAGTATGACGCGTGAAAGGTTTTCTTTCCACGCCACTGCTTGCTTCAAACTTTGGACCTGCCCCAGAGTCATCCTGCAGCATCGTCCCATCTACTCCCCCTCGCAATTGTCCCAATACCAAAACACAAGCATCACGCACACCGTCGCCGTTGGTGTTGTAGATTCCATCCTGCCACACAAGAAAAAGCCATCCAGTCGAAAGAGCCGACATGTGCCTCTACGCCCAACACTACTACCGCTGCGGTTGCCCCCAGCCCGGTCTTGCACCTCGCCTAGTCAAAGAATGCCCGATTGGAATGGAAAGCGATGCCGACCCAAATGACAATGACGGCAAACAAGAGCCAGCAGGATGCGGCATGCGAAAGATATCCCGAGAGCCCTACACTATGCCATGGATCTGCCGAAACTGCTATTACCGAAGCAGAGGTGACTACGAGATGCGCCATGGTCGCGAAGACGGCTGGGAAGGGTGGTTCGTAAAGAACTGGTACAACTCGCACGATACCGGGAGGACACTGAGTACCTACTCCGGATCGTCCATCAACGACCCTGGGTATCTCGCGCTCGATGATGATGATGATGTGATGATGCTATCGCCAGCAGCATCGACGCCCCAGACACTGAGACAGTATCAGTCGGATTAAGCGAAGGGTCCAATCGACAAATACAAGCCAATAAGATCATACGTCAAACGACCATCTGGTAGGCCCCTGAATGGCCCAAATCCAAGCCACTAAGACACTGACACCTGGCAGCAGCTAGATAACTACCTCAATCAGCATCTTCGTCCTTGTACGCTGTCTTCCACGGTGCCTAACACCCTTGGTCCTCATGGTTGAGGAACAGGTGCCCAAAGCTTTGGTCCTCATGAATGAGGAGCACGGTGCCCAATCCCTTTGTTCCTCACTGATGAGGGACAAGTCGACTTGGCAATCCATTTACAATCGAGAATGAAATGCACCTAATGCGTTTCCATGCGTGCCCCGCTATATTGCGTTATGGAGAGCTTGTGCGTACTATTTTACTTCTGATGTGTATTATGCGAGAAATGAGGGGTCGGTGCTCACATGACAAGTCAGAATGAGAATGCAGAAGGTCTCAGGGGTAATTGAGGTGGCTTTATGTACCCACATATTCAGACATCCATCCCCCTTCGCAATATCTCACCAAGACCTGCAATAGTCAAGTTTTGTTAATGTATTTTGCAGAAAATGATGGGAAGTTTGCCCAGGCATCCGAGGGTGTTCTATGCCGTTCCTTAACGTCTCGTCCCATCCCTGAATGAGCTTCAAAGGTCGAGCTTGACGGCGAGGATGGATAGGACCTTTGGAAGGAATGTGGTGGGAACAGGAACCAAGGAGTCAGGTCTGTAACTATGCACCCTTTTCCCGCAAATGTTTACAGTTTATTGCCCATTTTTGAGTGTTTCCCTTTAAGCGTTGTCTTCGACATAGATAGGGACAGGACTACCCCAGTGGGACATGCCAGGCTGACTCAACCAGAAGATCAAATTGGTGGCTTACTCAACCGAGGTGCTACCACAGAACGACAGCAATCTCGACCACAGTCGGCTTTTATTCCTTCGATGTTGTGCAAAGGCTGAGAGTGCTCTGGTTATGAACAGCTATGCATGCAGGCTATACAATTACTCGGTGTAAACGGGGAATCATAAGATTTTCAAGAGACTAGGCTGGGTAGTTATCAACGTGCTGTCCCTAGGTGTTGTCAGTCTCTCACTGGTCCGTTGATGAATCCCAGTGTTTGGCTACCATTGGTCAGTTTGACCGCCCACCACAGGCTTCAGATACTGGCAATGGTTGGAAGTGCGTGTCTCCAGTTGTTGCACTTCTATGCCCAGTTCCTCTCAACTTCATGTTCTCTGAGACTGCTTTTGCCCTTCATATTTCTTTTCTTCAAGTTTCCCAGCGTTGACCTCATCTCTGCTATGTCTCATTCACCGAAACCTCCATCGCTAGCACCATCCCGCAGGTCCATTTTTCGCGAGGAATTCAGCTCGCAGCATACTCTTCCTCATCTCAATCTCGGCTTACCCGCAGCAGAGGACCACCACGGCAACAGTGCAAACACCACCAACATGGCGGCATTCCCAACTCCAAGGGAGGTTCGCCGACTAGCATCTGATCACAACTTTGTTCTCGGCGCCACTGATCCCGCCCCCAGACGGTTGGGAATCTTGTCATTCATAGGAAAGCAGCTCTCTCTTGTTGTTGCACTAATTGCTGGTATTATCTCGGTGGCTGTGGCCATTGCCTACACCGTGGCAGCAAGCAAGCAGCTGTTGCAATGTCCAGCTTGGGCGAATGATTGCCGTTCGCTTGATCTTTGGACGGCAGAAAATCTGGGTGCGATACAAGGGATTATCACAGCAGTCTATCTCATCGGTCTATCTGCCTTTGCATATGTTTGTCAAGCACTCTGCGAAGCAGCGTTATGGCCTCTGTTACACACTCAAACACTCACCATCTCGGCCCTAGGGGGTTTCCTGGCTCTTAACCATGGCAATATCATGTCGCTACCTCAAGCCGCCACAGGGATACGCTCTCTGTCTGCGGCTGTGGTCTTTGTGGTATCTTTGCTTGCGATCCTGCTTCCCCTGGCTGCCCCTCCGCTTGTAGGGTATGCATGCACGCCCATTCTGGAGGCGGTGACGATATCAAGCAACATCAGCTCGTCCGCATCTTCTGTTTTGGACAGACCCTTCACACAGACCAACCCACCCTCACCAGCCTTCATCCCAGCACTATCAGCATACAACACCTACGCCAATAACCCAGCATCTGAACCACTACCATCCTTCAGAAACTGGCTCTTTGACAGGTCAATCCTTGCCACCAGAGGTAGTTTCACCGCAAAAGCCGTCCACCTCGACACAAACATCACCTGCCACGGCCAGCAGCTGCAACAACTCCACAGGAACAATGCCCCCATTAACGCCTTCAAAACAACAACCAACCTCTCCAGCAGCCGCCACAAGCCCTCCGGGGAAGTATGGTTCACCCCCCAACCTCACCTCACGGTCTTCCTCGACGACGTCAACTTCCACTCGACCAACATAATCAACACAACAATCATCCTCGCCGCCATAAACGGCACCATCTCCGGCGGCCAAACAACCAACCTCACCCTAGGCAACATCAAATCCGTCTCAGCAATCAGCTGCTCAGTTCTCCTCTCCGTCAACGACGATGTCCTAACCATTGGCCCCGCGCCCCCTAACCCAACTCGCCCAGTATTGTCCTCCCTCTCGGACCTCAACCTAACCTCCACCCTCCTCTGGCTCACCGCCTCCCCTCTCCTCGTCACCCAAGCAATACTCTCCAACTCCACCCTCACCCGCCTCGACTCCAACAAGTGGACTATCCCCGGTCTTGAGTCCTTCCTCCACTTTTCCATAGCAGCAATGGCTACATCCCTTTTCAGCAGCTCCCCCTCTCAAACCCCAACCCATCAGCAAAAGCTTGTTTCAGCAATAGAGACCAAAAAGCTCAGCACCGAACGAGCGTTTTTGCTGCTTGTCCCCCCACTGTTGTACACCTTTTTTATTATCTTCATGGCACTGTGGGATGTGGTCATGCACAAGAAATATCAAATCCCCGTCATGAGAGGCATGTCCGTATCCGAGGTGACAAAAAGCTCCCAGACAGCTTGGATGAGGGAGCAAGCTGGGGCTGATGGGGCAAAGAGTCATTTACCCTCTCAGCTGGGGGGGTTAAGCGTGAGGTTTGGGGTTGTAGGTGGTGGAGAGGTTGGGTTTGGGCCGGCAAGGGGAGCGGTGTCAGGTTTTGTGATGGGGAAGGATAAGGGGAAGGGGAGGGATGGGAGTCGGGTTCATGTCGGGGGTAGGGTCCACCCTGGACATAGCAGTGTAAGCTGGGTGGAGGAGGAGGATCGTGGTGGGAGGGATAAAGGGAGAGGGTATCGGGCGGAGGGGGGGGAGTGGCCGAGGAATAGTGATTTGTGAGGCTGTGGTGGTTTTCAGTAGCAGTGCTTTGTCTAGAGATGCATGGGATAGCAATGCTTGTTTAGAGACGAATGGGAAGGCTCTACAGAGATTCAAGACAACTGAATAGAATCTGGCCAAGAAATTAGTTGGAAACGCTATCAGAAAGGTGCGACGATGACTTCATTGTCGCCATAGTGGTGAGTGACCCCTGAGCCGCTGACTGGTGCCAACATCATAGCCTCACGCAAATTCGCCAATTTGTCTAACAATTCTTCAATGGACTACGCTCGGACCTGACTGCCCAAATTCAATGTTATCAAACGGCCAAATCACCAGCCACAGTGACAACTGTCCCAACTCAATTACGTGCCCACTATCAAGTCTTGACATGTCTTGCCACTGCATAAATCTCTCAGCCGAGCCCTTGGCACCAACGCCCAACTCCCATTAAGTAGGTAACCAGCCGTCGCCGCAATTGCGAGACAAAGATAGCAAAAACTCAACATTGATCATTATGGGTATATCGCAACGCTTCTAAAGTGTGTATGTATGTGCACGCCCCGGTATATACCATCCTATTCCAGATCCCTACGCCAATAGCACCTGTGTTGCCAAATCGCTGAACCAAAAAAAAAAAAAAAACCCCGTTATCCCCCTTCATGTAGACAGCTTAAACAGCCTGGCGACCCTGCATCTCATACCCCTGCTGAGGGGGCTGGATGACCTGCTGCGGCTGTCCAGAGTAGGGCTCGTAACCCTGACCGGCATACCCAGCCTGGTTCGCCGCCTGGTGGTCGTAAAAGGCGGGCTTCTGGTATTCTTGGGGATAGTCTTGGCCGTATCCAGTAGTTTGAGGGGCATAAGCCGTGTCAACACCAGCGGTCTGGTTGAAGGGAACAGCGGCGGGGTTGCTAGCGGGCACGTAGGTGCCGCGGTTGCCACCGGAGCCGTCACCGAGAGAGCCCTTGCGGTATTGGTGGAAGATGATGGAAGCATAGACAAGAAGACCGAGGAAGGAGAGCCTGGAACGACAGCGGTTAGCGACTGTGGGAAGAGATGGACAAGTGGGAAATAGCCTACAGGATAATAACGTTGATAACGGCGTACAGAGCGCTTGGCCTGGCGCCAATCATGGAAAGAATGAAGCTGACGACGTAGAACAGCGTCTGGAAGATGTTGGTGAAGAAGAAAAACTTGGGGCCCAAGGTGCGTCTGGCGCGCTTGATGATGCTGACGAGATCGAAGATCAGACAGACGAGGATGATGACCATGATGATGACCGAGGTGGCCATGATGGCTTCGTATGTGAGGTGGGTGTTGTACTCGTCAATAATCCGCCTTGCGTCATCCTTGTACACCCCCAAGCCGGCAACGAGGAGGGCGTAGACACCAATCTGGATAAGCATGATCAAGATGCGGATGATCCAGAAGGGGATGAGCACCCGCTTGAGGAATGGCGACGAGTCGCCGATGATGTACTGTTTGCTCATGATTGCGAGACCGTTGTCGTCGTCGTCGTTGTCGCCCGTCGTGATCGAGCGATCTCGATATGGGGTAAGGTTGCTGGAGAGTTGACACTGGAAATCCAGCCAGTTGCAAAAGTGCGAGTTCCACGATTGTTAAATGCGGGCAGGTGTGGCAGTGATGCAAAAAGTCCCAACCCCTGTCGGACCCCTGTTGGGTCATCTTCCCCAAACGGGGAGTGTCGTCAGAGATGGCCAATCGCAATCAGCCAGCGGCTGCTTCAGCCACACAGCTGGGGCGAACTCAGCCCGAAAAGCATCCACAGCTCAGGGTCCCGGGGTCAAACGGTGCCTGTGCCTTAAACGCTTAGCTTAGGATAAATTGGGCAAGACTCCGATCTGAGGTCATCCAACAGGCCTGTGAGCAGAAGCCCTGTGGCTGGTTATCATGGATCGGTGAAGCTTCTTGTAGGTGTTTAGTTTTCCGTCGGGGAGGAGGGCTGATGTGATGGTCGAAGATCAGAAATCCTTCGCAATGGGAGCCATTGGCAGCCGTGATGCCCTGGCGGGGGGCAGCCACGCGGGTTTCAGCTCCCTATCCCGATGATGAACAACCTGGGAGTCCAGAAGCAATGCTGTGCTACGTCACGCACAAGCCAAAAGACCACACTCCCTGGCGGGCGGACCATTCGATAGGGCAGAGACCTCCTGCGGCGCGCATCCATCGTCTCAACCACTTTTTTCTTCCGTGTCAAAGGATTTGAAGCGAAATGCTTTCAGGGTCTTGTCAGAACAGCACTGAAAATCCCGACGGTGATAATGCCAGCGCTGCACAGATGCCCCAGAAATAAATAAGCGCTAGCGTTTAGGCACTGACAACAAGCATTCCCTGGTGTTTCCTTTGCTTGGCAAGCCACCAAGCCTTCCTGACATCGTTTAATTTGTGGGGCCTCATCCGGGCAATTTTTAGAACACGCCTTCTTCGCCGACGACAACCGACTCATCTTGAACTCGAAGAAGAGCGAAACGGTGAGATGAACTCTGTCTTTCCATGAACTCTTTGTTACTGGTCCGTATCCATAGTTGCTGTTCCGAAGAACAAGCAAATTGCTTGGTTACTGAGGCAACCCAACACCGAGTCAGTTGGACGATGGCCATCAACAAATACGAGGTGCCTTTTGCCTCTTTTTGCGTGGTGTCATGATGAGTAGAGGACTCTGCTGACCACTCTCGTAGGCCTTTGACGAGATCTCTACTTTCTGAGTCGGCAATTCCAGACAGCACCTGCAACGCTGAGCGATGGGATGACACATACCCAGCACGAGAGACATGGAACTCAGCTGGCGCATGATACGGCAGCTGGCTGCCGGGCCGTTGGAATTTCCGTCGTCGAGTTCAAGCTTATAAGATGCAGAACTGGAGGATAGGGTAACACTAAACCAAGGGCGTGTAGCCCAGTGGTAAAGCATCTCAGTCGCAAAAAGTTCGTTGCCTCGAAGCTGTTACAAGACAGGTGAAAGGGTTCCAATGTACAAGTATGCTCCATGAGAAGATTCCAAGTTCGAATCCTGGTACGTCCAGTTCTTTTTGCTTTTTTTTCTTTTTTTTCTCTTTTTTTGCTCGAAAGCTTCGTCAGTTGTTTGCCGGGGTAGATGACAGCTGGTTGTCTGTTGGGAAACAACAGGCCTTGGTTGGCAAGGTGGGTGTTTCCGTCATGACATGGGAAGTCGGCTGTCAACAGTAATTGCCACGGTACCCTCAATCCAGTCTGGCCACACGAGATGCCGGTGACACGGCACGGAAGAGGGCATCTCATGACGGCCAGCCCGCCTATCAGGTAGGTCGGTAGCAATTTCTTCGCTGCCCGCAATGTGCTGATTAACTCACCGAAAGAAATACTACCAAGTGCTGGAGGGTTGCAAAACAGCACTTGCTACAGCCCCCAAAGCACTGCAACGAACATATGAACAGCTATTTATCCGCATGGCACAGGGTGGCAATACGACTACAATGAGCGTATCAAACTCCAGAGATTCTGTACTACATCAGATTTCGATAAGGACTTTTCGGCTGTCAGTGTATTGCGTGAAGGCACAGATTTCATTGAGCTCCATATAAATCTCGGCCTTTTATCAACTGCTCTTCCTTCTGCTGAGGCAAGTCTGTCATCACTAACACCCTTTACTCAATTGCCCAGAGTCAACATTAATTGACCAGTTATGTCTGAGCCTAGATCAAAGATCACGGATCACCATGAACCATATGCAACAACTGGCCTGGATGTCCCACGTCATCTTTCCCACGTGGGAAGTCTAGACGTACTCCTTCTACTGGAGAACCTTTCGGATGCCGACGAGGCTTCGGTTGCAACATGTGAATTGGAGATCACTGAGGCTCGATCGATATCAAGTAGTGATGACGAGACCCAACACGTCAAGACAGCTAACATTTTCCTCGAGGAGACAGTGACCGGGAACAGCCTCACGCATACCCCATATATAGAACTGCAAGTCAATCTTACAGGGTCCGAGAACGATAACAGCTGTGAGAGCATTGAGGCCTGTTCTCCAGTGCAAGTGTCTGAAGAAGATATTGAGCTACAGGATTTCACAGGACCACATAGCGGAACCGGGAGCACAGATCACCTTACTGCACCCCCAGATCTACCAGCGCCTGCGATCTCTCCCCTTGATGAGCAGCATCAGAGCCCTTCTGCCTCTAGTCCTGATGGCCAGTCACAACCCGAGAGATCTCTCCCCAACTACAAGCCAATTGCTTTGACATGGCCATTTCAGGTCTTCCTCCTGGCCATTGTTATTGGCATGTTTGCGTTTCTGGAATATCAAATCCACGACCTACCACCCCTCCGCTACAAGGCTCTTCAAATGGGTCAGCAAGAAATTGCTGAGTCAAGAGATGCCCTGCTCACCACAAGCACGGTTGTCTTCTCACTCAATACACAGTCTATCGAAGCCAAACCACTTCCTCGAAGCCCACTGGTGGCACCTACTCCCGCCACTCTAGTCAGACTGGAGCCAACTGTCGACGCCCGTGACAGTCCTGAGCCAACCCCGAAACTAAGGATAATGGTCCCGAGACCTGACAAGACCCTTTATCCTTTCCCTCAGCCGCCCGTGACTGCGTTCTGTGGCTGGGGTCGTCCGTATTGGAACATGTCCGAGTATCAATATTACAACCTTTGGGACACCGTCATTCTCTCCCAGTGGTATGTAGCCCTGGAAGAATTGATCCCAGTGTTCACCACCACGGACCCTTCTTGGTGTCCATGCACGGTGAGTGCTGGGTACGAAGGAAACTGGCCCTGGGGCTGGCCCGACTTGCCAATGTGGGACACCCACGACGAAGGCTGCAAGTCGGTGATGAATGCTATTTGCTCGTTCAACTACTACAAAGTCCACACTTGGAGTCCAAAAGGGCCGTCAGGGTATCAATTTCGGACTGATCTGAACCTGGTCTCCAGCAGAAAGGAGAGAGGCATGTATGGAATTGCCCTTTCACACCGCGCCTTGGATCCTATGACAACACCGCCGTCATCACATAGCGCCTTCTGGGGGTATCCCCTCACCGATTCGGACAGCAACATCATGTTTCCGCTAGAAGTACGGACAGCAAGGCTCGAGCAGCAGGACGTATTCGGCAATAAGGTGGGAGGGGACGAGATTGCGTCTTTTCCAGTGAACTACCGCTGGATGGCCGACACGCTGCTAAGCACTGAAATTTCAGATGGGGTCACCCCATGCAGCACGGATATGATGGAGGTTTGGTGGTATCAGGATCCTCTGGGGACTTGTACGGGGTCACCGTCAAGTTACGCGACTGTCTGGTGGACCCTCCCGTTTGGCAAGCCAGTGACCTCCGACATATCAGAGACACAATCGCACAGTGCCATCCCGGTCTATGCCAGCCTGGGTATAGACACCTCAAACGATATACAAACCCACAGCAACGAGCCCAAGCCGTCTGGCGCCATCACAGAGCAGGAAGAGCCCTCGAAAACAACCCTCAACGTCATGACCACTACTGAGACTGTGACACCATCTCCAGGGCCCACGAGTGGTCGTGGTCCTGATGCAAAGCCGATATCGAGGACAGAAAACACCAAAAACAAATCAACGCAGTCCGCGTCATCAGAAACGGAGATTCAGGGGCCAGTCACTATCTCTTCAACAAAGGGTGAAGTCACATCTACCGGTAGTGTAACTCCAGCACGATTCGATTCAACGCCACTTGCTCCTCAGTCTGAGACAACTGCCTCAGTCAGTAGCGGTTACTCCTTATCCATTCCCCAATTATTCTTCACCGCCAGCAGTCTACAAGGCGAACAGGGCCATTCTAGTGGAACGAACTTGCCTCCTCTGGTCTTTGTAAGCAGCGCCGTGTCTGAACCAGATAACTCCCTATCCAAGTTGCCAATGACCATTCTCACAAAGTACGGAGATATTCTCCATCATGACGAAGTTAGCGCCGCGATTGTTCGAGCCAGCAGCGTTACCTTTGACTCTGCTCTGGAGACCACACCTATGGTCTCAGCTGAAACTAGCATTTCTCAGATTCCAAAACAAGATTCCAGGACAGCGTTTGACCTCAACATTGGCTCGGTTTCGTCCGCAATCTCAGCCAAAGATCCTACCGCACACCCCTTAAGTCATTTACTATTGATCCAGGAAGAGCATACCACTAAGAAGGAGATCAACAGCACCAATGAACCTACCACACTAAACACCACCTCGCAAGAAGCCTCAACACTCACCTCTGATGCCTCTTCAACCAGCACCGACACCTCTCAACCACCTCCCATCCCACCAAACCCACCTATAGGCCCAATTCCCCCAGAAGTCCGAGGAAACTTCTTCAACCTCCGCTCAGAAACCGACTACCTCATGGCCTCCCTCATTCCAGTCCTGCTGGCAACACTCCTAGGCATCCCCGTCCAGATCGCAGTCAGTTCCCTCAATTCAATGCTTCCCTTCAGGGCACTAGGTCATGAAGCCGGAACACTGCCAGAAGACTCCCTCCATTTGCCCTCCAATAGCTGGCTAGCACCATGGATAGCATGCAGATTCCTGCACCGATTCAAAGATCCCCTCCCATTTCTCAACGTGCTCCTTGGACTCCTATCCACCATTCTTATCCCTCTATCGGCCGAGACAATCCGTCTGGAATTCACCTCGATCAACTGCAAGGTCTTCAGTCGGGTATGTGCCTTTGGGTTGAGAAAGGCTGGAATTCCCATGCGAGCCGCGGAGGGTGTGTTGGTGGCTATTTCTGTGCTTGTTATCGCGATCGGGGTTCTGCTCTCACGGTGGAAGAGTCGGGTTGCTACAGAGCCGTGGAGTATTGCTTCCATGGCTGGGCTATTGTCCGATGCTGAAGTGAGGGGGTTGGTGCGGTCGTTGCCCGGGTGTACTGAAGGAGGATATCTAAGGGATGATCAGATTGCCAGTGTTTTGACAGGGAGGCGGTACCGTTTGGGGTTCCTGGGAGATGATGATTCAGAATATGGGATTGAAGTCTGTCCGGCGATGGAGGACGACTCACCGATACAACCCACGACAAAAGAACCCCCAACCCGCACACCTGTGTCTTCCACACCAAAGAAGAGATTCTGGCACATGAAACCAACCACAAAAGAGTTTCTCGCCCGGGCAACGACTCTAATCTTCGTCATCGGCCTCCTGATCCTCATCCTCTATTACGAAAACACCATCCTCGACACGCCCTTCGAACGGTTCATGGACAGCCAATCCTTCGGTGTCCGGATTCTGTTCACCTCCTTCGGCACCATTGTCAGCGGATGCTGGGATTACTTCTTCTCTCGTTAGTCCACACCTTCCCCGTCTGCCATCAAAGACACATTCTAACCGCCGTCATTAGAAGTATCCCACTCCTGCATCCACCACCGCCTCTCCACCGCCCCCCAACTAGCCCGGACCTCCATCCTCCTGTCCCCTCCTTCCAACATCTTCACTGGTCTCTGGCAGTTCGCCCGCTCAAGAGATGTCCTCTTCTTCAACATCGCCCTTGCCGTCCTGCTGGCAAAGTTCACACCGATTTTGTTCTCCAGCATCCCGTTTCGGAATACCGTTACCTGGAAGATGCATGAGGCGTGTACGTGGTTGGCTGCTGCAGTACTAAGCTATATGGTGATTGTGCTTGTGGTGATGGTGTATCTTGGGTGGAAGCAGCCGCGGTGTTGTTTGCCGGTGAAAACCGATACGATGGTCGGGTGTATGTACTACCTCGCCGAGTCTGAGATGTTGAGTGATTTTGAGGGGATGGGGGTGTTGGGGAGGAAGGAGAGGGATCGGTTGGTGAGTGAGATGGGGAGGTTGTATGATTTGGGAGCGGTTAAGAGGGCGGGCGAGGTGGTAAGAGGTGAGGGTGGGAGGCTGGTTGTTGACTACTTTGTCGCTGATTCTGGGGTTGAACGAAAGGGGCGAGTTAGGGAGGTGCGCTGATGAACGCAGCCACGTGTCTATCAGGGCGCGATCTTTTGGATGTGAGATGATGCTGATGGGTCGAAGGTGCAGGGACCACCCGGTGTGTCATTCAGGAACGTTTTGCGGCCAGCAAGGTCCCCGCCCCACACCTACGTCATTGTCCAACCTCAGCTTCCCAAACACTCGGTCTTTCGACGTCCCCTAGCATATCTCACCTGTTCAAAACACATCACTGTATTCGCAAGTCATCTCTTTTCCACTCAGCTATACCTAGGCTACCTTCCAATTGACCAACGATAAGCATGGCCGGCGTCGTAGCAGCAGCCATCGCGGCCGAGCAAGTCATCATGACAGGCGTCGAAGCCGCAGCAGCAGTCGCCATCGCAGCTCCTACCGCCCCCCTCAAAGTAGCCCTCGCCCAGCTTGACAAGCCCGAAGGCGATGACGGCAACATAGCTCGCTCCAATCATTCTCTTACAGTCATCGACGACAAAGCCTACCTCTTCGGTGGCATCGATGCCTCCGGCCACCTCTGCTCTCCCACAGTGCACGCCATCTCCCTTCCCCAAGAAAAATCCCAAGCCGACCCCTTGACTTCCAAATCCACCTCCCTAGCAGACTATCCCGCTTTCCCAACAAAGGACATCTCCACAGGGGAACTCAACGTCCCCTCCGCACGCAAAAACCACGCCGCCTGCGCCAGGGGCAACCGCTACGTCTTGATCCACGGAGGTGAAGACGCCTCTGGAAATCCCATTGATGAAGGGAACGTCATCTGGGAGTGGGACTCGGAGACCCTGGCATGGACAAAACTCCGGGGTGCAACTCAGCTATACAAGAACATGGCTCCTCGCTCTGGTCACTCCCTGTTCATCGACGACAAGCAAGGTTTTCTCGTCTCCGTCGGCGGTAGCAACGACGAAACGAAACGCGAGGTTTGGTTTTACGACCTGAACCAGGCAGTCTGGACGACACTGCCTGACCTTCCTTCTTCGGTCGAGCTGCTAGACGCGAGAGCCTACGCAGGGAACACGCTTTACGTCCTGGCTAAATCCCCCTCTGACCCCAACACAGTGGAGTTGCTGTCATTGTATCTCTACAACAACGCCACAGACAGGGAAAAACCCCTCCCCTGGGAAACGCATTCATTCACCGCTCCCTCTCCCCGCCCACAGCCACGGGTTGGTGGTGCGCTGGTTCCGATAACGACCGGTTATGGGAGGGAGTATCTTGTCTATATGTTCGGCCTTCCTGTCGATGAGTCACTGGCTTTCCAAGCGGATATCTGGACGTTGCAGCTCCCATCAAGGGGGTTCACGGGGGCAAAGGTGAAGGATTATGTGAGAGAGAAGCTTCCAAAGATGAGCAGTGGGGAACTGACGTGGGCGGAGGTGGAGTTGGTGGCTATGGAGCAGATGGAGAGTCAGGGGAAGGTGCACCCAGGACCGAGGGGGAGGTTTGGGTTTGGGGCGTGTTCGGGGGGGAGGGGGGTGGTGATTT